AAGAGTGTTAGAAAGGTTGGGTTTTCTTTTTAAACTCTTATTACACAGAAAAGAGTTAATTGCCTGTTTGGAATCTCAGTCAACTGTTAATCATTACATGCATTTTTATGCTTGTGGGAGTGCAGTCAGTTAAATGAACTAGATGAGTACCTTGTTTAAAGAGTAGCAAGGGATAATAATATGCTTTGATTTTGAAGCACTTCTTTCTGAAATAGTCGTACTTACTTAGTGTGTTCAAGTACTGTCTGAATATGTTACAGTCCATGTAGGTGTCACTGCTTTCATTTGCTCTCATCTTTTGAGAACTCCAAACTTTACTTGCACCAAATTTTACTTACCTCAGGAGTTCAAAGATCTTGGGACATACTAGGACCTGTTTAAAATCTGAGATAAGAAAGATTCAAGTACTTTTACTTTTTCTTTCATGCATGAATCATTAGGGAATTACATTCCTGTTTTCAATTTTTCCTCTCCCACTACCTTTGGGACTTGTAATATTCTATGAAAAAGAGTTGTGACTGTAACCTACTCAGATTTCAGAAGCCTCAGGAAAACTGCCAAACACTGTGACACAGATAAAAATTAGCAACACTGTGAGCAGGACTAGTTCTCTAGCATTTGTGTACTCACAGTTTCTTTTTAACCCTATTTTATCTGCATTTGCATTCAAACCCCTCCAGATGAAGGTGACCATTCTTGTGAAAGACAACAGGGATGCTGGAGATGTAGGTCAGTGCACTGGCTAAGAGTGAACAGCGTTTTGGTGGTACCCTGTTGTCTGTCCTGACACTCCATGCAGTTCTTCAGAGTCAGGAAAGAGAAGAAGTAGCCAAAGACTGTTTACCAGGGTTTCTCTTACACTTCCTGCTGCAGAGGTTTATATCATATAAGTATCTTGTTGTTTCTCATGCCTGTAGTTAACTGGTGCCTGGGAAGACCAGTATAAGAAAAAGATAAACATTGATCTGAATAGTACTTTTGAAAGAGCAGGCTAGACACACAAGTCCTCCTGAAAGACAAGTTGAATTATTTGATATTGTTGAAAATCTTCTTTGCCTTCTTGGGAAAATGAAAGGCATCACAGCATTTTATTTGATTCTTTTTCCCCCAAGCATTTACTTAGATTGTAGGACCACAGACTTACTGCAGCTGAAGGCACTTATGCTAGGGTACCTCCTGAGGGTGCTCCAATGTCATGCATAAAATGTGTTGCGTTTTTTATTAATCTTCTGTAAATGTTTGTATATGTTAGTGCAGTGCAGATTGAAACATGTCTCCCACTAGAGGGATCTGCACTGAAATGCTGTAAGCATATTCTGCAAGCATCTTTCCTCCAAAATAACGTGTTACCCCAGTCTAGTATTTGCAGAGCTCTGCTGGAGGAACTGGACATACTTAAAGGTTAGAAACATGGAGTCAGGCATGAGTGAGTGTCCTAACTGCTGAGCTACCAGCAAAGAGGAGAAAGTGGAAAAGAAAGCATTTCCTCATCTGACTGTGCATCTAGCCTGGACTTTTGTCAGCTAAACTGTTCTTGCTTTCAGATTGAATTTATTAATATTTTTGAATGAATGAATTATTTTTATGTGAATAACATTTTTAGAAACTTATCCATCCATGGTGATTAGATTATTTGATTAATAGTGATTTTTAAAGGATTATTTGTAATCAGACATTCTACATTAGCCTTACGTGTCTTAAATTACAACCTTGTAATCTATTGTGATAGAAGGGCTAGAATTTTACACTGAAATATTCACTTTATTCAAAACGTTCCTATATAATTAATTTGTATAAACAAAGTGTGTAAATTTTGGATGTTTAGGAGAGATGCTTGCAATGAGGAAAGCCTTAGTTCATCAATATAATGTAAAAATACATGGGGTTTATATTTTTTTCAATTTAGGAGGAAGGTCAGCTCGTGTGGACAGATGGATCTCCTTATCTTCTAAAGGCTGGTGTGTCAACTTTGTCAATGATACCAGAAAATGAAACTGACTGCTATGCCCTTCAGAGAGATCCCACTGGTCCAGGCTATTTCTTCACAGGATTTTTCTGCTATATACCACTACCATATATTTGTGAATATGAATGTAACTAATTTTTTTCCAATCTTTTGCATTTATTTTTACAAGCCTTCCCCCAATTATGTTTATCTTTTGAAGATAAAAATGTTTTAATGATTTTCATTTTTTTTTTTTATTTTTGGTGTTCTTTTTCAGTACCTCTGATACCAGAAAACTTCACATTTAGTGTGCGTGATGTCACAACAACTGAAGCTGTATTTATGTGGAGTGATATGGACGTGTGGCTTAAGTCAGACTTTGCACTTGTAATGAAGTACTATTTTGATCAGAGGAAACCATACATTCTGAAATTGCCTGTGAATACAACTCAAACAAAAATTATGCAGTTGTCTCCTGGTCTTCACTATAGTTTTTTATTAGCAGCAAGGAACCCAAAAGGGGCACAGGCTATTTTAAATCCAATTCTGAAGGTAGAAACAAGTAAGTTACAAAAATAAATAGCAGTAATAACCAGATAATAATACACTGCTTTTATTTTTCCTTTAATTACACTGTATCTTATGTTCAGATTTTGCCTGAAAATGTAAGTAACTCTGAACATGAATTCTGAATCCAGGATTTACCAGTTTGTAGAGTGGATTCCAACACTGTCATTTTGCTTTTGTGCTAATATGCTTTATTGGGATTAATGAGGAAAAACTTGGGAGTTTTCGGTGGCTGCAGGCAGAAAGCTAGCTGCACCTTCTCTGAAGTATATCTTAAAAGATCATTCTTGCCATAATTTTACTCACAGAATTCCTACTGATGTCCAAAGGCAAAGCTGGATGTCAGAGTAGCAGTAACATATTTTTGATCATGTTTGATTTGCTGTGATACTATTTAGCATGTATGTAAGTACATACTGTACAGCTTTTAATACAGCTTTTCAGGCTGTATTAAAAAAAAAAAAGTTACTGGTAAAAGGCATCAGAAGCTGTTACCCATTTCTATTCCTGATCTTCTTCAATAGGACCATTGCACTCCCAGAAGCTGGAGGCTACGTATGTTTCATCAGCAGAAATACATTTAAAGTGGAAGCCTCCACAGCATTCATCCAGTGCTTCTTTTCATTACTACCTCATCAAGATTTTGGATACTGAAACCAGCATCTGGGAAGAGTTACCAGTTGAAAAAAGCAAGACTTCAATAGTAATAGGAAATGTAAAACCTTATCATCAGTATCAGGTATATTTACAGAATGTGGCAGAGAAAGGAACTCTAAGCTGCCATGAGAAGCCTATATTAATCACAACAGGTGATGTATCTATTTTCTGGTTGTTTTATTTCACTAGACAGAGTTTAGATTGAAAATTCAAGACACAAAATTATTTGTAAGGACATATACAGATGCAGTTTGTTTGGTTGTACTGGGGGAAAGTTGAGGCAATTCTTTTCTGTATTATCTGTTTACTGATTTTGACCTTCAGAACCTTCCAAGAGTGAGTGTACCTATCCCCTTACTTATTTATTCATTTATCTACTTACTGCACATGAGTATGTGCCAAAGAAAGGGACATTTGATAAATACAGATTCATGGTTTGTGTATTTAATTCTAGCGAAGTAGAAATGTTACCATGATGTCTCAGATAATGTAGGGGAAGACAGATTAATTTATTTTTCTAATCATAGGTACTGTGACTCATATTATATTTTTTCTTACTCTGTATATATCCAATGGAATGCAACATGCTTGTAAAATAAGTCCCTATTTGTCATGAGAAAACAGAGAACAGAATCTGTCTGTTACAGGCAGTTGTCTAAAAACTATTTTAAGAAATAATTAAATGAACTAGTAGTTTTAAAATCATGAAAATTTTAGAAGGAAAAGATAAACCAAAAAGCATCATTGGAAAGGAATTGTGTATTGTTATTAAGTTTGAGCTATGGTTTTATACTGACATCTTTTTCTTTGATCAAGCTGTCAGTCCACCTACAGCTGTTTATATTCACCCAGAGGATGTTCAGGAAGAGAGTGTAATCGTTCACTGGAAGCTGCCACAAGAGGGTCAGGAATCCTACATTCAAATGAAACCCAGTGCAGACATAGGTGAAACTAAGAAGTTTTTATTAAACAATAAAGAAGAATTGAAGGTTGATCTCCTAATTCCTGGAATGACTTATGAAATAGCAGTTGCAAGTGTAAATAATGGAAATATGAGTGAACCGAAGACTGTTCAATGCACTTTAAGTAAGACATCATTTAATGGTGAAAACTATTGACTATAATACGGACAGCATCAGTTTCATTATCATTACTCTCATCTAACAGATTTGGTAGACCAAGTCAATTTGCTAAATAGCCAAGGATCAAAACTAGAATGTGAAATACACTGATCCAGTCCTAATTGTTAACAGCAAAGTAGATGCTGTTAACTTTCAAAGAGGGTGCAGCTTTGGAAAACACATCGGTAGTATTTGTAACTTCAATGAGGACCACAGCGGGGAATCTGTTCCCACTGACAGAAGAATTGGGTAAATCGTTGATTTGCATTGAAATAGGAAAATATTGGAATGGTCAAAGCAGATTATTTATTTTTGGAGATGCATTAGTTGGTTCTGTGAACTGTGAGAGAGAAATTACCCTGCTGTTGGTGAGAGGGTGCTGGGAAAGGACTTTAAGAGAAGTACTGGTAGTTGAAAGGCAAAAGCTTTATATTGGTTATTGAAGGGTCTTTCCTGTTAGTATTAGTTTACCAAGATGTTGAAATACTTTTGGCACAGTATACAATTTTTGGCATATGTGAAAGGAATGGGCAGGATTCCCTTATACATGCAGTATTCAAAGGCTGCAGCTGTCAGGTTATAGATACATGAAATGCTCTGTTGTCATTTTTTCTAAATGATTACAGTAATTTGGAGGGTAGTAGGCTTAGTCTTTTCCAGATTTTTTTTTATACAGGAGCAGATTTAATACCTCATCCAAAGACACAGAAGACAGATAATTCTAGATGAGATTTTTCACAGCTGTCAGAGCCAGCTGCAAGGGAAGAAAACTAAACACATCACTGCTGCATCTATCAAACGTATCTCATTCTCCATGCTCGTGTCCCTGTCCACATACACATTTTGGTATATTTTTTTCAGCTATCCTTTACCTTACTGGCGCAGGTGTGGTTGGAAAGTTACTCCATTGACACCTTTGGAAGCCTAACATGCTTTGATTCGTAAATAATTTTTCAAAACCCTTAGGATTCTAGTAATAAACACCTAAAAAGATCAGGTTGTTTATTGTTTCTGAGCAATGATATGTTTTATTACAGTAGCTATTAATTTGCACTGGGCAAGCATATTTCTTAGAGCAGTTGCTTCAGATTAATTGCATGGTTTTCGTTGAATTTATTTGCAACTGATTTAACAGGTGGCTTCAATTTTTTTTCTTCTTTTAGAGCCCAAGCCTGTTCAGATTGTAGTTCCTTACATACTTTATAGCAATGCTGTGGTGTTATTTGTTCGCATGCCTGATACTGGAGTATTTGATGGCATATATGTTACAAGTAAAGGAGGACCTAATGTGACATTCATTTTAAAAAGTGATGGTAAAATAACAATTGAAAACCTTACTGCAGGAACAGAATACGATTTCTGTGTCTCCACAAAGAGTGGAAAAAAGCTGAGCTCCTTTTACCATGTATCTGGTGTAAAGACATGTAAGTATTTAAAATCTGTGCCTATAATATGGCACCATATAAAATTTTTATTTATAAATTCTTTTAACTTTATTTCAGTGCAGTAGGAAAGATGGGCTAATGAAAAATCACCGTGATATGTCTGTGTAAACAATAATTATACAGCTAATACTAGCTGGTTTTTGAACAAGAATTCTAAACTTTCTAAATTGTGTTTTTTATATCAAGTCTATAAAATGTCTAGCAAGTGTTTCAGGAAGTTAGGCTTTCAGGGCAAGACAGAAAAATTCTTCCCAAAACAGTGAAAACCTTGAAAGCTGATTTTTCTTAAAATACAATTTTAATAAAAACTTGAGTTTTGATCACTCTTACGAAAGCATTTCCTAAATATAGCATCAAACTGCCTTAAAAACCCCTAGTTTTGGTCTGTCTCTTCCGTCTTCTCCAAAAGCTTGGAATTAAAAAAAAGATAAAATACTGACCCCTCACGGATAACCAGTTTTTTTGTAGAAAGTGTAAATTTTTGTACATTCCGGCCAGAAATGAATGGTGGGGATGCAAGAGATACAGAGAAGAGTGGAAGCTCTTTCGTTATGTGATCTGAATTGTATCATTCAACACTGTACTAACTAGGGATAAAGTATATTTGTGTTGTGTGACGTACTCAGTTTTGCTGAGCTGTTTGACAAAATTTACGTACATTCTGTGGTGGTGGTATTGGAGGGATTAACTTCATTCTGGAGGGCTTTCCCACCAACAAGTTCCAGCTCTATCCTCAGGGAGAAATGCATGTTCAGCTCCATGTAGTTTTAAGATAAACAAATAAGCAATTTTCTTTAAATTGTGGCAATACTATTTCTCTGTTCTCTCTCCTTTTTTTCTGTTTTGGAATGTATGTATATCTTTTGCATGCCTGAGATCACATTTTGCCCTGTGTTTGCATCTGCATCTGATTGTTTTCACTTTTGTTTCTCCACAGGAGGTATAAAAAGTGTTGGATTGAATGAAATCTTGGATTGAACAGTAAGGTGTTTTATGTTGTTCTGTAGGTCTGGCAGCTCCACTCAATGTGCGAGAAGGTAATGTTACAGACACTTCGATAGAGATTGCTTGGGACCGTGCTGATGGAGATTTTCAGCAATATGAAGTTACATGTACAAATTGTGCAAGTGCTTTCAGGGTATGTTTTTTAAAAGACCACTTGTGTATAGGCAATGTAGTTATTTTTCGAAGTCTTCTGTTAAGTAATCAGAGGCTAAATTAAACACTGTATTTCCCATTAAAGTAGGTGGAGGTATCATTTACATAAGATAAGCAAACTTTGCAAGCAGTTTTGTGAATGTTATATTTGATTTTCTAGGTCCAGAAGGTCAAGCAAGAAACAGCAGTATTTTCCAACCTTACTCCTGGCAAGCTGTACAACTTTACAATTCGAACAGAAAAGGAAGGTTTCAGAGACAGTGTTTTTGTGCTGAAGGAAATAGAGACAGGTGAGACCACAATGTTGTCAAATTCAGCATTTCTTGAGGACTTGTCTGTTAATGATGAACTCAAAACATCAGTGATGTCAGAATTACACTAAGCATTACAGGGCAGCAAGCAGTTTGGCTTTGGATCTTGTGGTGAGCAGAAATCCCGATACACATAGAGTACAGTGGTATCAGTCTGTGGTTCCTTGAGATAAGCAGGGACATGACATAATTTTTCTGGAGTTTTCATTGCATTCTGGTGACATGAGACCTATCATAAAGTAATAGATTTAGAATATATTTTTAAAGTAATGAATTTTGTTTTTTCAATTTATTGACACAGAACCAAGTGCAGTTAAATATCTGAACTATAGCAGAGACTCTGAATCAATAATTGTTACCTGGCCACCAGCCCAAAATACGTTTGATGGGTATGTTCTTTCAATAAACAGTAAGGTCTTCAATGAGGAGAAGATGTTACCTTCCAGTGTAAGGTATGAGGATTACATTTAAAAAATAACTGACATGAACTCAAAACAGATGTTTTACTGTGTATTTAAAATAAGTATTCTAAAGTGTTAATTATGTGTGCTATGGATTTGATGTTTTAGTTGATACACATTACCCATGTGAAAAACTATTATTTAAGAATTGCATTTTTTTAACAAATTACACATCTCATGTGATGTGTTTGTGCAAAGAGCAAACAAAATACTGCACTGGAGTGAGCACCAGTAGACCTGTATGTAATTTAGTTTAATCTTTTAAGACTTCCTAGTACTTGAACTTCATGTGAACATGTGTGATGCTTCCTATTTAAGATTTGATTATATTATTATAAATAATTTTTGACTGACAGCATACGTCATGTACATACACATCATGTGTAAATAATATCCATGATACTATGAAGAACTGACATATGAATGCATACATGCGTTTTTAAAATCCTAAAGAACACAATCTATTTTTTAATCTTTGTAGAATGTACAAATCTGGGAGTCTTCTGCCTGGCACTGAATTCCTAATAGGTATTGTGACAACCAATGGATTAAAAAGAAGTCACCCAACCATCGTCAAAATTAGTACCTGTATGTTCACAATATATTAGTAACTTTTCATGATGTTGGATAATTAGGGTTGTTACATTTTAAGGTATTGTCTAAGAAAAGCTATTCCTTACTAAATGAATGCATCTTAACAATGTCTGGATTAATGAAGATACGTCTTTTCAATCTAAAAATCATTGAAAGTTACTAGGTAAATAAAACCTTCTAGAACAGAAACAAGTTTCCTCTGTAGTTAATAGGATTCTGCCGGTAACTGAATCAGCAGTAATATTAGGATGGTACAACTTTTCCATAAAAATACACAAACACTGATTTTATTTCTGATTCTATTGTTAATATGTAGAAGTGAATTTTATTTATTTTATATTCTTCTTAAGTACAAAATGAAATCTGTTTCTATACTGAGCAATAAAATAATGAATTACAGCAGTGTCTTCCTTAGATGTCAAGTTCCTTAAAATTAATCTAGATTATTTTGTTACTAAATTTTGTATTCGCTCCTGTTTTTACCTTAGATCCTGATCCACCTTCAGATTTACAGGTGTTTGGGCAAGAAGAAAATACAGTCTATTTTTCTTGGAAACTACCAAGAGGAGGATTTGATATGTTTCAGGTGAGATAAGAATGGGAAGAAGCCAATGCAATCCTTTACTTATTTATTTTGGTAATTTCTCAATTAAATTATCATCATGTGTGTACTGCAAACCCAGCAATAAATATTAGTCTTTATAACCCCCACAAGTATGGGAGGGAAATACTGCTATAGGAGGAGACACTTTGACACTGATTCACACAACATCCTCGTCTCTAACTGGAGAGACATTGGTTTGACTGGTGGACCACTTAGTGGGTAAGGAATTGGCTGGATGGTTGCACTAAAAGACTTGTCAATGTTTCGATGTCCAAGTGGAAGCCAGTGATGAGTGGTGTTCCTCAGGGTTCAGTATAGGGACTGGCACAGTTCAACATCTTTGTCAGTGACATGGACAGTGGGATTGAGTGCGCCCTCGGCAAGTTCGCTGATGACACCAAGCTGTGTGGTACGGTCATCACACTGGAGGGAAGGGATGCCATCCAGAGGGACCTTGACAGGCTTGAGAGGTGGGTGAATGCAAATCTCATGAAGTTTGACAAGACCAAGTGCAAGATCCTGCAGCTGGGTGGGTGCAGTCCCAAACACAACTACAGCTTGGATGGAGAATGGATTGAGAGCAGCCCTGAGGAGAAAGACTTTGGGGTGCGGGTTGACAAGAAACTCAACATGAGCCGGCAGTTTGTGCTTGCAGCCCAGAAAGCCGACTGTATCCTGGGCTGAATCAAGAGTGACGAGCAGGTCGAGGGAAGTGATTCTCCCCCTCTACTCTGCTCTCATGAGGCCCCCACCTGTAGTACTGCTTTCAGCTCTGGGCCACCAACACAAGAAGGACATGGACCTGCTCAAGTGAGTCCAGAGGAGGGCTGGAGCATCTCTCCTGTGACGACAGGCTGAGACTTGGGCTTGTTCAGCCTGTAGAAGGCTCCAGGGAGACCTTAGAGCAGCCTCTCAGTTCCTAAAGGAGGCCTACGAAAAAGCTGGAGAGGGGCTTTGCATGAATTAGACAATTTTATAGGTTTATTTTTCTTGTTTTGATGTGAAATCCAATTTTTAAGGATAACTTTTCTTAAAGTAATTCTCTTTATTGTTCAAATGTTTTTGCTATTTCTACATTTCCTCTACCAACTTTTTGAGAAGTGTATTATGTATTAAAACTGCATTTCAGTGTTTTTCATACCATAACACTTTTGGGTGCTCTTATAATTTCCATTTAATTTGCTTGATAATTTTAAAGTATTTTTTCTTTTCTAATTAAATGTAATTAAGTTAAGTGGACTTTTAATTTTTATTTTTACAAAGAGGCTGAGTATTAATATTTCATGTCTGGAATTACAGAGTGGCTCTTCAGCACGTGTAGTTTGAATTGTATCCTTTGCAATGCTTAGCACAAAATCTAGATTTATTTGCATTCTTTCAGTTGTCTGGTCAGAAACGATCTACTGTGACATCTGTTTTGTCTGTGGATCACTGACATTCAAGCAGTCTCCCTTCTGTAACTTGTCTTTTACAGTCTGCCTTGTATTATCCTTTGCATTTTGCAGTCACTGTCTGAACACAGTCATGTGGTCAGTGAAACTCGTGACAGTAAACTGTTCTTTAAATATGTCATTTAAATCAATAACGGTTTCAAGATATAATCTTGTACGGTTAACTTGACCAGGATATTCTTCAGTATGTGGCACTACCATGAGACAAAGTACTTTGCTTTAATGATATGACACAATTTATACCCCAGTATTACAGTATCCAATTCTTTTCCTCTCCCTTCCCCATGACTTCAATTATATCCTTACCTAGGACTTGAAATCAGAGTATTCTTGGTATAGTTTCTTGACATTTCTTCTCTCTTCATTAGTGTAAAGTTGCATTGATGTGAATGAATAAGAGTATCCAGTTAACTTAGAACAGCACATTTTGCTGATGTAGCCTGGAGTATTTTTACAGGTTTTAAAATTCAGTTACCTCATTCATGTTTTGAACCAGTTCAGATATACTTTTGTATGTGGCCGGGTTATTTTTACCATCCTGTGGAAAATAATTGTAATATTGATCTTTATGGCACAGTATTGTTGTTCAGCAATTCATAGAGCAAACAGCCACATTAGACAGTGCTTTGTCTGAATAAATGAGCTTATCTTTAAATCTTTAATGAGAAAGGCTTCCACAGACTGGTTGCTTTGTAAGGTGCACCTGCATAAAAGGGATCATTTTACTAATCATTTAAAATTAATTATCCCAGCTCACTAACTTTCTATGCAATGTATTGTAGTTTGTAGAGCAAAGAGTGCACAAAAGGTGCTTTCCTAGCTTGTCTGTATGTAAAACTTTAATCCATTGCTTTGCTTCTAGCATTTTGTAGTGCTGTAATTCTAATAAGGTGATGAAAATCTCCAAGACTTAGTTTGTATTAACAGGTACTGTGCTGGTAAAATACAGGGGGGAATTGGATCGTTCCTCCCCAAATGAATAGCAGCTGACTCAGAGTGCTTTCAGGTCATCACTTCCATGCATAAAATATCCTTTTGTTGGAGGAAATGGAGGGGCAGGGCAGGACACACTGCTGCAGGCAGTTGCAAACCTTCTTAATCCCTCAGTACTAACTGCCATGCCTGAGAAACCCATGTGTGTCTGCAGGAGATGCTTGTCTAGAACCCTCTGCAGTACAGACATGGTGTGCATCTTCCCTTTCACCAGTGCAGATATAAACTAGTCTGCAGTAACAGTTTTCTATGTCCACAGAAAGGACTGTCACAGGAAAAGGAATTCTCACAGCTTCTAGGGGTTAAATTTCAATTACTTACTCCAGATAAGTAATGCCCAAATTTCAATTACTTATCTCCAGAACTTTTATTCTCTGTAGTGGCTCTAAACTGAGTTTTCAAGGTATACCAGGCAGCATGGTTGAGTGGCTGATTCCTTGGGACTCTTTTCAGAATCCCAGTTTTTTCTTTAAAATATGGAAAATGTTATATATATTTTTACATAAACAGGTATTTGGAATCTCTAAATATTACTTTTACAAAGTCATATAGTTTGATATAAGAAATTATTTTTCTTCCATAGCTTTCGTATTGTTTGAATAATGAAAAGCTGCTTACCAGAACTGTTTATGACAGCAGAGCTGCAGTGAAAAACCTGACCCCTGGAACAGAATACCTTTTTCAGTTAAGGACAGTTAGAGGCTTGGATTCCTCTGTGGCTGTGGAGACAAAAGTCATCACAAGTAAGGAAATACCTTGTAACTTGTCTTTTTCTTTTTTTTTTTTTTAAAAAAACAGTTAATGTTCAGAGACATTTAAATCATTGTATGTAAGTGACTTGAAAGGGTCACACAGTTCAAAATGAAACTAGTTTTTGGGTGCAAGTTCTGCTTCCTCTTGTGATAGTTGCTCAAACAGTACCCTTGCATGTAACTTCCTGGGTTGAAACTGGGGAGAATAGTCGTAGTTGCAGGTACCTGTTTAAAAAGGAGGTGGACTCACAAATTTCTTCCAGCTTTAGCAGAATAAGATCTTGCCAGAATAGCATCCTATACTTCAAGAATTACCTTGCATTTTGTTTACAGTTGTTTCTGCATCTCTTAAATTCATGCAGTCCCGTGGTCTAAGATTGTGGGATTGCTTCTGTACAAGGCCACAGGATGCTTAAAAAAGTAGGAAAAACTGTGCTTCAGATAGCTTAACAAGGTCCAGAAAATTAACCTGTGTCTTGCACTCATTTTCTGTCTCTGAGCAAACGTGGATTTTCCAATGTTTTTGTGATACAGCATAGAAAGAGGAGAGTTTGTTTGTGGCAAAGGATTAAAGGAATAGATATATACTGGATATTCTGGACTGTTAAAGTAGATAAAAATCAGGTAACTGTAATGAGAAAAGAAATCAGCTACCAGATTTACACATATGCGTGTCATAGACCTCCTCCCTTCTTTCATGGATTGTCTGTGGTTTGTTTGGACTACCCCTCCTTAACCTGTTAATAGCCAAGGAGTCTCTGCACTTAGTTGTTCAAAGATGAATGAATCTGAAAAAACACAGATCTATTCATGCAGATTCTTGCTAATGAAAAGTGCAGCAGAATAATCATCATCATGATCCTGATGGTACTTTTTATTCTCAAGCACGTATTTCGAGAGTATTGTGGATGAGTCCAGTATATGGCTAGATTATGGATAGTTCATAATTTTCATGGCAAACCTTTAGGATCTTTTTGCTGAACAGTCCAGCCCTTAATGGGATTATGCTGATTAGTATTTTTCAGAGAGCTTTGAGCAAGATAAATCAGTGATCTGGACACTTAATTTTTAGGAGGAATGGAAACATTTTTCTTTCTGACTGCAGCTGTGCTGCACAGATTAGTGGAGGTGCTATTTGTAAATAATTATCTGTGATTTTAGGAGTTTTAATATAACCAGAAGGAATATTTTAAAAAGGAAAAAAGTGATAATCAGCAGAGACTATGTGATTTACTGTATCCATGAGTGAACAGATGGACAGTTTTCTAAAATTATGTGGCCTGTGATGTATTTTAGAGAACTTTTAATCTCTGTTTAAAAAAATCTCTGTTTACAAAGTGTTCTATTCTCATTCTGTTTCACCAGTGAGAAATGTTACTGTTCTTACAGAAGATTTCATATGCCTGGAATTTTCTTCCACAAATCATGTAGGGAACACAGGATAGGTACAGCCTCGTGTTTTACCTTGTGCAGCATAATGGCGTTGTTCACTGTGTATCCATTCAAACATGTAAAATTTGTATGAATATTTCATGATGTTGTGAACCCTACAGTCATTAAAATAATAACAAAACCTAAGGTACTTTTCTTGTATTTTAAGGACTATGCATTATTTTTTTTAATTTATTAACCTGAATAATTTTTATGGTAGAACCAGCTGGGATATGCGGTTTGACGTTAAAAATGGTAAATTCTTCCTCTGCAACTTTAATGTGGAATCCAACCAAGACTAACTTCACATCTTACAAAGCATCTATATCAAACAACACCTTTATAAAAAAGCTCAGGATTCCAGGAGCACTGACTGACTTCAATGTTACAGACCTGACTGCTGGGGGCATTTATAATTTCACATTGCAAAGACTAAGAGGAAATATTGAAGGAGCTTCTGCTTCCATTGAGATTGTGACAGGTCTGTATGGCTTCTTGCTTTCTCTCCTTGCTGGTGAATGGTAGTTGTCAATAACAATGCACATTTAGCTTTGTACCTCTCACTTTGTAGAACATTGGAATTTCAAGAGATCTTACATGTAATAGTTTTCAGTGGTTGTGGCCATACATTACTTAAACCCTATTCAACTTGCATCTAGTGATACAGTATCAGATACATAATCTCTTTAGCTGTGCTGCATTTTTTTTTTGACTACTTTTGGTATTTTCATTATTTTTCAGGTCTTATCCTGTGGAATTACGCACAAGCTGAGTTTTACCTTTATCTGATTTCAGTAAGGGTTTTTTTGCAGTGAGTGAAGTTAGAGGTTTACAAATGTTTGTGGAGTTAAGGCTTTATATTGTAAACTGAAGGCTTTATATTGTAAACTGCTCCATTCAAGGCCTGTTTCTTATTAGATTTGTGATTAAAACATAGTGGGGTAAAAATCTCAATCTTGACATGTGTCTGCAGTTTACTGTAATGTAATAATGTAAAATACAGATTAAAGAGCAGAAATATGCACCAGAACTACCTCAACCAATTTCTCTTGCTACTTTCTTACATTACTTTTTATAGGAGTTTTTGTGGCAATGAAATGGTTTTATGAGAGACACCTGAGAGGTGTTGGAAGTTGTCATTGATTGACTATTTTGACCAAATGTCATGACATTTGTGTCTGCTTTTGGGATCAGTGTTTAACAAACTGGTGGTGCATCTGCCTTAATCAGGGGGACTGAAACAAGAGGTCAAAGACAGCCTTTAAAGTGATATAGGGGTGAAAATGCTTATATTTGTTTTAATGTCTTGATAGTCAAATTGATAAGAAAAGCCTTGTATGTCTTTTAAAGCTTAAATTAGGACCACAGTGCTATAATAATAACACTTTTTTTTTTTTTTCTTTCTCCCTAGTGCAGGGATGATTTAAGTATGTCTGGTTGAGTTATTTGTGCTTCCTTTTATTTAAATGCATTGAGATACTGAGCTTGCTGGTTTATCATGGTTAATTTTTGGAAAAATTGACATGTTGTATTTTGTGCTCCATAGTCACTGGTGTATCTACTCAACCTCAACTAATTTTCAGATATTCTGATATTGCAAATATTAAGTTCTATTTTTGCAGGTGAAATTCTGAATTTTACAGCAAATTGTTCTATGCTTTGCACAAATATACTGGCCTTATAGTTTGTACAAATATGCTGACCACTGCTGGTAAGAAGTGTGTGTGTGAAACAGAGAGGAGGATGGCCAAAAAGCAGGTGCAGCGAGGCTTGAGTGAACCACACTCAGATATGCATTCCCTGATGATGTGGTTAAATCTGCAGAAGGGTAGAACTGAGGCTTTCTTTCAATGTCAGTGGGAAGGGTAATTCTCAGTCATGGAGTAATAGGAGGAAGAGAATTAGCTTCTTGGGACTAAATTTCTCTTTCCATGAGGACTTTTTTAATGCTTTCTTCTAGAGTCAGAAATAATTAAACTGAGGTAAAGAGATGACTTAAGTATTGTGGAAACTGTACATTTAGAGAAATTACAGTAGTGATGATAGCAGTAGGATTTAAAATTTATAAAAGGAAGAAATTATGCTCTCAGTTACACTTGCACACCTCCACACGTATTATTAGATTTTTTTTCTGTTAGTATTAAATTAAGCAACAAGTTAAAAATTATATATAAATAAAGACTAAATATAAAATCTAAAGGTAATGCTTGGTAATATTAAATTTCAGATTATTTGATGGCAAAACTGGAGTAATATGTTTGGAATGATTCTGCAACTTTGGATAGTCAGTGTAAATAGTTCATGAATGATATATAAGCAGATTCACAGTAAATAAGAAAGGTGTGGAGCTCTTTCAGGATCGAAGTGCTATGATACTCAGACTGCGCAATGCAGTATCAGTGTATAAACAGTACTAGAAGATTTAGTCTGATTTCTGGAGAACCATGTGAGTAAGGCAGACAGGGCTGAGTGTAAGAGTAGCAGCGAATAGCAACAGTGACTGAGCTTGCTCTGGGACATATGTGTAGGGACAGCTGTTAGCTATTTGTGCTTTCAAATTCGAAAGGAGACAGGTGCACCTGGCTCTGGATTGCACAGGTGGATAAATTATACAATATTATAGGTCAATAATGTTTGAATGACCTATTGAAGAAGCAAAAACCTGGTTCATTATTAGGCCTAGAGTAGATGATACAGACTTAGAGGTGCGCTTATAGGCAGAAGAAGAAAGTGAAATGGTGTGACAGGAGTAGGTGGAAGCTTGGTTTGAATTAGAAGAATAAAAAAATCTTTATTTGGAGGGCTTAATAGACTTCATGGAATTACTGGGATTCCAAATACATGAAAAGTATAAAAAAGTTACCAACCCTGTGGCTAGCAGTGGAACAAGCACTAGCTATATCTTGAATTTCAACCGTAGCACTAGTTATGACAGTAGTGGTGCTAACTATAAGGTTGAGTACAGAAATAAACACCAGGACTGTGCAGAGATTCTTTGTCAACTGAGCACTGGGCAAAGATACTTGAGCTTCCTCTTTGCACACCTGGGAGGTTATCAACCAAGTCTCAGAGGTGGTATAGCAACCGTAGAGTAATATATGGCTAATTAGCAATTATCCTTCATGTAGCAAGTAAACTGTTCTTGGACGCTTTTATATTCAGTTATAACTACTAATTTATTTGTGAAGGAAGTTATTTAAGTTAATGTCTTTTATTCCACAATTCTTTTTCAGAACCTGCAGAGCCAGAAGGACTTAAATTCTTCAATGTTTCATCATATTCTTTTTCACTGTATTGGAGACTGCCATATGGACATGTAGACAGATTTCACGTGGCTCTTATTCCTCATCATGGTTCTATTGTTATCCTAGATCTTGGAGTTAGGGAGTATCAAGTATGTGCATTTTTTACAGGACTTGCATGGCCAGCTTTTCCTTATGCACTGTGCTGATAAGGAATTCAAGTTTGCTTCCTTAGCTATTTAATGCAAATATGAATATGGAAGTATTAATGAAAAATTGGTGAGAGCAAATTTCAGAATCCAGAGTTTGTTACCTAATGTCAGGTAGTGTATTTGCCTTTTTAAAGATGTGCTAGAAGGATACAGCCCGTCATACAAGGGTTCATGAATAGTTTAACAAAGGAAGGGCAGAGCTATTGAGTAATACAGGCTCATTAATTGTGTACTTGCCAGGAAGATCTGTGCTTAAATCATTAATGCAGGCAACGTTTCACTGCTAAGCCATCAAAAAGAAATAGGAGCACTTTTTGATTCTGCTGTCTGGAAAATATAGTAATATTAACAGAAATAATGGTTGTTCTGGTTGTTTTGCTTTTGTTTTTTATTGGAACTACAACAATACAGGTATTTTATATAAATGCTTGCTATAAAATTGTTAATTATGTTTATCTCCAAAGATGGGGTAGCTTAAGGGTCAAAAACTTGTAAGTTTTTCAGGCTGCTTTTGTGTTTATTCTATCAAAAAGGAATTTTATAATGCTTCTTACTTACTTTGATAGCAATGAAGATACAGAAAAACATCTATATATACACTCATAGGTAATTCTGTGATAAAATTAAGGGTTTTTTTGTTCTTTAGTATTGAATATTGCACAAATCTTATGGAGGGTAGTTAAATAAGATGGCAAAATACTGTACTCCAGCTAACAGGAGTAAACTGCTATTATTACTCTTGCAAATGCTGTTGTATTTCTAAAAGCTTATTAGCAGATCACTTTCAGTAATGGAGTGCTTAAACTTCTGGGGTTTGGGTTCTTTTTTTTTTTTTTTTTCACGATTCTTGTTAAAAAACTGAATTAAATCTTTGTCCTGTTTCAGGCTGATTTTTCTAATACTGTTCCTGGAACAACATACAATGTTACAGTTTCTACAGTTTCTTCTTCACTCTACAGTTCACCTGCAAGTAGAACAGTGACAACAAATGTGACAAGTGAGTTAATAATGACTGATGAAATGTTGTTGATTTTTTTTAAACTGTTTTTCTGTATTTATTATACGCACAGTAATATCTGAGAAATTATAATCAGTTTTGAACTGTCATTAGAATTTGTCATCTTCTCTAACCATTCAAAAATACGCTGTGTCTGAGGTGTTCTATGAGAGCATGAAAGTTTCTGTGTCAGATATTTTTAAGCAGAAGCCCTGGATGTGAGTTGTAGCTGTATTCATCCATTAGTTGGCTTAGTAAGAAGAAAAAAGGGGAAAGAGGGGAAGGCATGAAGGACAACAGTTTATAAACTTTTACAAAATTTGCTGAGTCATGTAGCAATATCGATACCCAATTTATATGGATAGTGGTATACTTTAGAGACCTTTAAAAAAAATGCAGCCATATCAGACACATTTTGTAGAAGAGCGGAGTTTGGTTTTGAATGGTTTTAGGGAAAGGAACTGAAATTAAACTGCTAGAATATCTCAAACATTAAATTGGCATTAAACTCTGTTTTGCTCATGGAAATCTTGAGCATTAACATTTTTTACATTCTTACAGAGGAATGTTCCTGGTGTTCCAAAATTCATTTAATCATTTCTGTAACAAGACTTCAACCAGAAACAAAGCTTGTTGTTCGGCAGTACATTAGTTTTAGTAGTTTTACTGGCTTATGCTGGTGGATGATTTAATTTCTTTACAGGAGCTGTGAAGGTGTCTGCATGATCTGGAGACATTATTAAAACCTGGTTTATATGGGTGCGTTTGTGTATGTGTACATTAAAACAATTACTTTTTGGTTTTTTGTTTTTTTTAATTAGATCCTGGGCCGCCTGTGTTCCTTGCAGGTGAAAGAGTGGGCTCTGCTGGGATTCTGTTGTCATGGAACACACCACTGCATCCAAATGGGAGAATTCTCTCCTATATTGTTAAATATAAAGAGGTCTGCCCATGGATGCAAACAGCTTATACACAAGTCACAACAAAGCCAGATAGTTTGGAAGTTCTTCTTACCAGTCTTAACCCTGGAACAACTTACGAAATTACGGTAAAAGCTTTATGAATGCCTTTTAGCATTTTGAATTATGATTTATTGTAAATTGTGTGAGTTAAGTCCACATAGTGTATTCTGAAGGACCTTGCTAATTAACTGTTGTCAAATAACAAAATATATTAGCCAGGTATTTGTTTGCAGTAGTGGGTTTTAAATCTACCTTAAAGAGTTTCCAACCAAAATTGTACAAAACCAGTTTCTTCTGTTGATATTCTTATTGACATATGGCATTATGAGGTAAAAAGTAAAAAGCAAAGGGTAGAATTTTTAAAAACATCTAAATCCTTCATCTTCATTGAGGTTCAATCTTTCAAATCATTGGTGCACTTTGGATATTATATATAGAAATCATCTCAGCTAGATCCAGAAAAACATGTAGGTACATACTTCTTTCTTTGATTTTAAGCTTAATTAGTTTTAAAAGAAGATTTCTTGCCTGAATATCTGTTTAGCTGTGGCCTGTAAACACCTTAGTCTGGTTTCCCTAAACCTAGGAGTTTTACCTAATATTATCTCCTCATAAAAATGACATACTCTTCCCTTTCCATAGATTTTACTGCCTATATATTCACAGTGCATATCTTCTGCCAAAATCAATATGTGTTCATGACTTCAAAATCAGTTTGTGACTTCTGTATGTGGAATTTGTTTACATTGAGATTAGGCGCTCCTGATCGTCTCCAAACCCTTTTAACAATAAATGACTTCAGGTGGACAGAAATGAACTGCTGTCCTCTTTGCACTATTTACCAAGCAGTTCTTTGCCTGGTTTACTCCTTCATAAGAAACTTGGAGAGGTGCTTCTTTTCAATATCAAGAATGAAATGAAGTTACATGCTTGATTTGTTTAATTCCATATCATGTAAATTCATACAGGGCAAAGCTATAAAAAATACTGAAGTTGACCAGACTATTAATAAGACCTTATAGTAATTCTTTGCAAAGGTGGTGTGTGTAAGAAAGTAAAAATGTAATTTTGCTTGCCATTGTGAAAAAGCTGGTCACTGTGAATCTAATTGTGATGACCATGCTGATAAAAGCCAGTATATCCACAGCTGGAGAAATGTTTACCTTTGTCTTGCCTGCAGTCATCTGTTAAAAAAATCCCAAGCAACCTCCGCCCCCTAACCCCCTCCTCAACCCTCCAAAAAAAAAAACCCACAAAAAAATGTTCGGCTACTTATGAGAGAAGTATTTCTTTTAGGCTCTAAGCAGATTAATCTTCTCAGAGAAATGAAGTTATTAAGACAATTCAGTTTACAGTTCCGAGTCCCTTAGTAGCACTTGTGTGGGGTGCAGCACTATTAGAGGTTTTCCATTCTTTCCTCCGTATATGAATCTTCCCTGGGAAAACTGTGGGGCATTTTAAATCATTTGTTCTACTTAGCAATAATTTGCCCTTTGTTGATATATGTGGGAGGCAGGCCTTCCTGTTGCTGGTGCCTGAAGCATTGATCTTAGAGCAGAATTTGCCTCAGAAAAGTGACTTGTGACCCAACAACCTCTGTCTAGCAGGGACCACATGGCTTTTCTCATGAGTGAGTAAGTCTGTTGGCAAGCTAAGGGTTATAATGTTACCTACTGCTTTGGTGGGTGCCCTGACTGCCTGACCCATAAGCAACCTCATGGATTAAATAATTACTCAAATGGAAACGCTTTTTCTACCTCACAGATATGGATAAAAAGATACATCACAAATTGTCCTCTTGAGCAATTTCTTGTTGTTTGGTTCATTTTTGGAGTCTGTTGTGTCGCTTAAACCACAACACATTTAAAAGTAGCTCTTGATTTTTGCATAGATGAAAATTCTGTATTGGTTTAGGCTACCTGGCTTGGTCCTGCTGTGAAAATCTTTCTGGTAAATACTGTGACAGCACAGTTCAACAAAGCTTATAAGGTTTGAATATGGGTTTCCAAGCTCTTTATAAAAACCCAGTCTTGATTTCTTTACATCAAATAAAAAGAAAACCCAAAGAAAATAGCAGTTGCAAGTGATAATTTGGTACATGTTGGAGAACTGCATATGATTTTGAACATCTGATCATTGATAACTTTGTATAAATATGATTTAGATTTTTTTCTAAACTTTAAATAATTAGCAGCAATATCTTCAAAGCATAAAAATTAATACTCCTTCCGAATGTCAACTGCAGTTACTTTAACTTTGGGTAGTACTTTGTTTTCTGCATAGTAAACTTGTCCTTTTTAAATATTTCCAATTTTTTTTCTGTAATGGCTCTTTATGGAAGTGATCTCTACAAGCTAACCATACATTCTGTAAGCATTTATTTTTATTTCTCTTCAAAACTAATTGGTGTGTGTAGCTGACACCTTTGCCATGCAAACTTTTGCATACTTAGGTCGTAGTAACTTTGAGTCTCTTGAAACTACACATACGAAACAGGAGTTTCCATGTCTATCTTAATACTAGGGTTTTTTTCTGGACCCCTTCTGCAATATCTACTTTGAGATGAGATAAAAAAATCAGTGTTCAGGTGAGGACATATCTTTAGATTTGTATGGTGAAATCGAAATGCTGTCAGAGTTTTCTGATTGCCTGTCAACCCCCTGAAGATCTCCAGATAATTTCCTCAGCTATTGAAATTACTGTAAAATTCATCAATGCTTAAGGACATTCCAAGCCATTCTCTCTGTGACACAGAGATGGGTTTGGCTGGAGTCATGGGGTGTGCATGCATGGGGTGCAGGTGTTTATATGGCTTAGGAAGGAGCTGGCCAGTGATACAGATTCTCCTTCACCAAGCAGAGCATGTGCATATCATAGACATATGCGTCCCTTACATCCTAGAGGAGGTCTTCCACGTTGCTGTAGTTCGTCTGCTGTGGCTTAGTGTTTTTGTTTAAAAAGCTTTACAGTCTTCTGAAAGATGCACATTTTAGTCCTGAGAAGTGATTACAACAGGTAGCCCTTCTGACCTGTTGGCTCTTGCATTCTCTTTGCCAGTCATTACCCCCTGCATGCTGTCTCTCACTTCTACTATGATCCATGTGTAGTTTGCACATCTTCCCCCTCTTACGCCGCTTTCCCCATAGTCTGCTCATACAGCTCCCTCAGCACCTCTACCGTACCTTTGTTACCTGACACTGGCAGAAGGGAATGACTCTACCAATTTTAACCTTGTTGGACAGCTTTTCACTTTGCTGCTTCTTTAACATGCCTCTCACCATCGGTGTTGGAATTCTGCTCAGATTTTACCTTCTGTTGTCTCTTTCACTTCTGTTGAAAATAAGGAGCCAGGCTTCATTCCTCTTTCATTTGAAGTATTGCATGCCATGGCCTATCACTGAGTTGAACTGTCAAGAAGTCCTATATTGCAGAGCATATAGCATCATTGTTGTGTTTATCTCTGTAAATTCTAACAAAGTCTCGGTGTATTGCCCTTCCACGGGAAGACTCTGCTATGATAGTAAGCATTGAGGTGCATCCACCATGAAGTGCATCCAACGTTCTATGGCCTGTTATCTTTCTGCTAAAAGACATGCTTTCCTTGGGTTTCTACTCTGATGGAAGTTGACCTGCTCTTGCCATCCTTCAGGAGTACAAGAAATAAAAGAGAACCTATTTTTCTTTTACTCCTTTAAGTTATAGTACAGCTAATAAGAGAGCTGGTTTAAGTGAATTGTAGTAAGGAAAGGAGTGTTACTGATGTTATTCTTGCTGTTGATTTTAGCATAAAATAGGGATTCAGCATTTCTGAAGTATGGATATGGCCACATGGTTTTTTCAGTTTCTTACACTGTTTCATAAGTTTTCCATTTTATTTTTTTTTCACATTTAAATGATGAATGTAAGTTAAGCATAAGCTATAAAAGGCATGTTCATTTGAGTACTCATAGTTTAAAAGCTAGAAGGTTTTCATAGTCCCTGAAACTATATATCCTATAGATTATCTAATGTGGACTTTTTTTTTTCTATAGGTCGCTGCTGAGAACAGTGCTGGTGTTGGAGTATTTAGTGATCCTTTTCTTTTTCAGACTGCAGAAAGTGGTAATTTTAAAAAATTACTGCTAAGTACCCATGGCACATTTTACACTGAGCAAATTCTGATGCATTTAGAATGAAATCTTAATCCTTTTCATATTCTCTCACTCAGTGGAAAAGGTGCATTCTGTCCTATTTGCTAGTTAATAGCATTTTGAGTGTGCGCATTATGGGTGTTATATGCAAACTCTGTTTCTGTTGGGGTTTTCCTATGCCAGTTTCTAGCTAGGTGGCTTCGAGAAAGCGAGGTCACAGGAGAGCAGAGCTACCTATCAAGTGGATCCATTTACTGTTGCCTGCAGCAGTACTAGGAGACAGACTTTGTTATGGGAACAGCTCAGGCATTGCCTGCTGGTGTCAAGCCATATTTGTTTACGGCTGGAGGGAAATGACTTCTGTAAGCAAACACACCCAGCCTTCTGTAAGCAACCCAGCACAGAATGTATTTTACTAAGTTTTTACTTCTTAATTCTGAAGGAGAAAAAAAAAAAAAAAAAGAACTGAAGGTTTAACTTGATGGTTTTGAAGATTAAAAAATTGTCACTATAGTCTGAATTTGCATAATATTTATTAATTTAGTGGTTTTAGTCTTGCTCATGCTTCAGGAGCGGTTGTGCCTTAGCTAAAGAGCTGGCTCCAGGTCAGTTATGGTAGAGTGAATCAGTGTCATCGGCATATATAATTTGTGCTGCCATGTCACAACACATCCCTTTGTGTTTAGGAATCCTGGTTGGTTTCTGTAGCTGTGCAAACTGCAGAGTACCGTGTCTCAGTTAATGGCAGGAAATCATCACTCTGCATGAGATTTCTGAGCTAATGCAATGACTTACGAAACCAAATATAAGAATGGGTAGTAAACTTGCCACTTGTACGTTACTGCTGCTAGAAAACCATATTTCTGTGGGATTTATTCACTCATGCTTGACAGAGGACAACACTATCATTTCTCCATATAAGGCCTTAGCTTTTACCTTTTGATGCATTTCATCTAACATTTTTAGTAAAGCTAAAATATCTTACTACAAATGTAATTTGAAGTTTTCTTCAAATTCTAGGTGAGTGTTATGTGTCACTGATACTTTTTATACTTCTACTTTTTTTTTATACTTTTACCTTCTCTTTTTTTTCTTTTTAACTCCCACTTTGGTGGTTAAGTAAAACCCAACATCTTGAACAACATTTAAATATTTAAAGTAGGAAAGGTAGCCAAAAGTCAGAATTCTTTAAATATGAAGGATGTAGTTTGGGAGGAAGGGAGAAAAGGTGAATGCTGTGCAAAAGATTCAGCAGGTCCTAAGTAAGAACTACATATGAGGCTTGGAGGAGCTGTCTCTGTTCACCTATGGAAGATCTGTAATTGTGGGCAGTTTTATGTTTTTAAGGCAGCATAACCCCTTTCTCCTTAGTGCTAAGAAGAGCTATTGCAGGAACTGTTACATGCTCTAAAACAAATAAAAATGGGCAAAAATCTGCCACTTCTGACACAGTAGATGAGTTGCTTCTAGGAAGAATGACCAAAGTTGACCAAACCAGTTACTATATTATTTTGAAACTGAAATAATTACAATTCTCACGTAAACTAGATTGGAAAAGAGCTGGTTGCAGATCTGCTACTTTGCATGTGTTTGTGAATGATTGTTATTTATTTGCTTCAGGGTTTGGAAGCTAGAAATATCATTACCAAAAAAAGGGGATTTTTTTTTTGCTTTTGTTTCCAGTGCTGAGATAAAAAGTATGTCTCGCTGCTTTTGTTTGTTTTGTTTTCAAGCTCCAGGTAAAGTAGTGAATCTCACAGTTGAAGCCTTAAATTATTCAGCTGTAAATCTGATCTGGTTTCTTCCTCGGCAACCAAATGGAAAGATAACTAGTTTCAAGATTAGTGTGAAACATGCAAGAAGTGGAATTGTAGTGAAAGATGTCTTGGTTAAAGTGGAGGACCTTCTGTCTGGGAGGTTACCAGAATGTAATGTAAGTGCTATAAACCTTTTAAATCAGAAATAGACTCAAGCCACAGAATACAGTTTTACATTTAAATTTTGAGATATAAAAAATTTTAGGCTTGCTTTTCAGAACAATCACAAATACTTTACAGACTTAGGCCCAGGGAAGGATATAATGCTTGAAGAAAAACCTTTCTGTTCAAAATAGTTTAAATGGATGCTTTTCCTTGAGAAGCTCAGTTTGATCAAAGAAAAAATGTTAAGGAAGATTCAATTTGGCGTCCTTGTAACTGAGAATAATGAAATAGAGAATTTTGAATTTTTTTTTTCAGCTATCAATTTATTAATTTTTGTTTTCTACAGCATTCAACTAGAAAACACAAGAATTAGTGGGGGTTTTTGGTCAATGCAGACATAGTAATGTTAATCTTATTTTTATATGTAGCATGATAGTGATTTTTATGTTTTAAATGTATACCTTATTCTGTGTACCGTATTTCAACATTTGAAAAATACTTTTCATCTCAAAATAAAAAGACCCATGATTAGCAGAGTGATCTAAAAAATGCTTTTCAGAGTTGGTCCTAAAAAAAGTGTTCCTTGAAAAGTTTCTGAATTTTGGCTATTCAAAGGATTCAGACCTGTAACCAATGTATACATTTCAGAATTTCTTGAGGAAAATTCTCTTTTCCAGTATTTATTTTTCCTTTTCCTCGTTATTCCGAGCATAGTGTTGTGATTACTTGGATGTCAAGTTGTCAAACTTTTTTTCCCTTTGTTTTCCCCCCAGGATGCTAGGCTTAGTACTTTAATGAAAAGTGCAGTTTTAAATAATGAAAATTATCAGAACTTTTGTTTCAGATTGTATTTGGAAGATCATTTTAGGTATTGTGAAGGCTCTCAACACCAAACTGATTTAATTCAGCACTGAGAAGTGAGACTGCCACCTACTGAACTATCAGCATTGGTTACTGTAAAGTCTAGCAGTTTTTCAGAAGTGTCTCCTGACAGTATGGATTAGGAAGCCCCTGTCAGGTCTTATCCGTGATACTGTGATATATGTATGCTGTGTATCTATATACACATAAATACATATAATATACATGTGATGTAGAAGGACCTCACTGGGGAGACTTTTCAGAGAGAGACTGAACGCTGGAAGTGGCATCTGGGAATAGTTGAATGAATCCTAGAGAGCTGCTTCTTTCAATCAGATTTGAAATCTTTTGGAATAAGGCAGGAAATGATAACAGTGTCACTAAGAGGACGTACTAGCGAAGTCAACAAATGAAATGATAACCTAAATTTGGAGACTGAAGAATAAAAAGAACCAGTTTAGGATAATTTTATTTCAAAGGTAGTCTGTCTTTTTTTGTTCTATATATATTTACAATTGTAGGTTATAAATGCATCTTACCATGTTCCATATTTTGTCTTTATAGGATAACAGTGAATCATTTTTGTGGAGTACTACTACTCCTTCAACTACTTTTGGAAAATCCACAATTCCTTCACGGACTACAGTTATACCAAGTACAGAGGCACCAAATCAAATGAGCTCTGTTTGGAATGAACCAATTAGTTTTGTTATAACTAACCTCAGACCATATACCACCTATCTTTTTGAAGTCTCTGCAGTTACCACTGAAGCAGGCTACATTGACAGTGCAATTGTCCGGACACCAGAATCGGGTATTTACTGCTTTCAAATGGGAATACAGTTCTCAGATTTATATGAAAACTTCAGAATATCAGATTGAAGTTGTGTTGCAAGATACTTCAGTCCAATTCTGTCTTTATCTGTATCACGCTTTTTTATTTACATAATTACTTAATTTTACCTAATGGAATCAACTGAAAGTATATGTAGCTATAATATATCGAAAAGTGTACAGTTGTTATAAAAAGTCAGAAATACAAAACTGTGCTCAAGACAGATCACATTTTATGAAAAACTGAAGATATTTTAAGAACTGCAATTGATGCCAGAATAGGAGAAAAATTAAAAATATAGATGAAGGGAAAATGTGTCAGGCATAGTATTCAAAAAGTATGTTTATTGTGTGCATAGCAATGCACTTAAAGATTATTTGCCTTTGTGAGAAAACAAGCAGTATGAAGAATACTCCTGTTCCATGGTTCCTCAATCTGTACCTATTGCAGAAAGTTTTTCAGTGCTGAAGAAATCTTTAAACACCAGGAAAGTCGATTTTGGATTACCTGCAATGCACTGAGAAGTTAGAGCTGGAAACAAAGGTTGCCCAGGAGCAGGAGTTTTGTAAAGGCTTAGGTAGTGGGCAACATTATTAACAGAGCCATCCCCAAAAGGTGCTCTAGAGGAATGTTATTCTGACTTTCTGTTAGTATATAATTCTTTTGCCTGGTGCAGGTTCATGTGACCAGGTTCCCCTTTCATAGCACTGTTCAGATGAAAAAACCCAACAAATTAATTCCCCCCTAGCACTGTGCATTTGAATCGCTTTGATAGAATTAGAATATCATTAGTTTGATGTTCTGTCTAGGGTTAATGAAGTTTTGAATAATTTCTGTTCTAATGATCTCAGGCTAATTTCCAGTTTACTTTTTATTCTGTTAACATCCTAGGATAGTTGTGCTGCTGATAAGAAAACCCTGGAAAGTGATGAAAAGCTTATGCACTGGGGTTTAGTTCTGCCAAATACATAGGAAAATGCAAACTGTTTGGCAGTTAAGATCTTCAGTCCTTGTGTACTTGGTGCCTGCACAGCCAGGGTTCATCCATTAGTGCATGGTCTGGGAAAAGGGGGTTTGGCTCACTGGTTGGTGTGACTCTGTGTGTGGCATGCACAGGGCCACAGGCACAATCAGCCCTTATAGCCCAAGCCTCAGTAGGTCCTTCCACTTAGCAGCACACTGGTACACCCAAGCTTCTGGATCCACCTCTATTAGATCCTCACCTTATGAGCATTCAGGTGCTTGTTAAAGTGCTCCCCTGTGAGTCCTGCATGCCTGTGTGCCAGGGAACCTTATTCAGAGGCTGGCCATAGAGTTGGTTGGTGGTTTGTTAGGGAGGCATTTGAGCATCTTCTCTCTGTAATCTATATCATGATGAAGTCCATGCTAGACTTGGTAGAATCCCTGCTGCCATTGTCTTTTAAGCATTATTTGAATAGTATTAACTCCCTTGATACCTTTTGCGATACCTTTTTACCTTTTCATTACCTTAAAAAAGGAAATGAAATAAAAATAAGTCATTTTATTAAGTGCTTGTAATGTAGCTTCCCTTCAGAATATTTAATGTTTATGTTTAAAATGAATTGTCTGATATGTGGTTCTTGGAAATCCTAATATAAATTATTTTATGTTCAAAGACTTTTTCCAATATTGTTTAAGTTCCAGAAGATCCACCACAAAATATTGCCAAGAGCAACATTACAGCAAAGTCTTTCTCAGTGATGTGGGACCCACCAACCATAGTAACAGGGAAGTTTAGTTACAGAGCTGAGCTGTATGGACCATCTGGTAAGTCAGAATTTCTTTCTGTTTTATTTTCTTTTTTTTTTTTTAATGATTATTTCCTTGCACTTGCATTCTTAGTGTCTATGCCTATCCAGAAGGAATATTTGAAAGCAGTGCTATGTATCTTTTTTACTATTAGACCTTTTAAATTGTTTAGATTACTTTTATGGGAAAAATCAGTTTATCATGAGGAAGAGTACATAAATAAATTCACATGAGATATTCTGAAAAGTGGAGGAAACCAGCTTTCCTCACCTTTTCAGAGGGATGACAGACTAAGCTCACAGCTTACCATTCTGATCTTACCTTCACTCTTTTTCTGTTAAAGATTTCTGGAGGATTTTAATTCCTGTGTAATAGATGATCAACTGTATGAGTCTGTTCTGTTGGTTTTGTACTTTTTTTTTAAACTCAGATGTGTACATATAAAGAAATTTAGTGATTGCCTGTAGTTCAGTAAGTTCATGAGCTGTATCCTAGTGTTTTTTATGGGATACAAAAAAAGCAATAGGAATTAATTTATAAACAAACAAAAAAATTCCCTTGCTCTTAAACCCCGTGCCTTCTTGAGGTTGCTTTTTTGCTTGTCTGTTCATTTTCCCCCAGACATTTAGTAGTATCTCCAACAAAGTTGATGCCAAATTAGCATTTTCACAAACAAATTTAGCTTTTCATTGTTCATCATCCCGGGAAGTGGCTGTGGACTGTTTTCATTTTTGAGCTAGAATCTCTTCATTTTTCATTCCAGGTCATATTCTGGATAACAGCACAAAAGATCATAAGTTTGTATTTAGTAACCTTGTGCCGTTTACAACATATGATGTGTACATCAGTGCTGAGACAAGTGCTGGGGTAGGCCCAAAGGCTAACCTTACAGTTTTCACTCCTGCAGATGGTAAGTGAGCATAGAGAAGTGAAGTAAATGTGCTGTACACAATAATTGGTTTCAGTTTTCCCTTCAGAGCCTTTCAGGTATTTTGCAAATGGAAAAATGGGTGTGTTATAAGAGTGTTACAGGAGAGGTATAAAAAGATAATGAAAAAAATTAGCTGAAAATTTTTTACATCGATTTATTTGTCCTTTTTTTCGAGTTCATGCATTGTCACTATATTTACTTGCTATCAGAAGCCTGCGAAGATTGTGAAAGAAACATAGTTTCTGTCTGAATTAATTGTTTTTAGATACGGTAATGGTAACTAAGTTGCAAACCCCGCGCTTACCCATTAGATGGCAGCAAGTGGAAAAGAAAGAATAGCGCAGGATTCCCCTCCGGCTGGTTTGTTCAGCTCCAGTGTTTCTTATTAAATCTCTCCACTTTATACGATGAAGTGGATTTTCACCAAATCCAAGACCCCATACGAGTCTCTAATGGAGCCACCTTTACCAGGGACCATTGTTCTGAGGCAGACCCAACACTGAGATCATGTCCTGTGGCAGTCAGATGGTTGGTTCTGCCCTTGAACCAGCTACTCTGTTTTGGGAGTTTTCGCTCCCAGTGGTCAACTCACCAGGTGAGAGTCCTTTGCTGTGTAGAAATGCAGTTTTATCTTACATCTTTGTGAGACTGTGCAGGAGTTTTGGTCTGCATCTAAGAAAGCAAAATGCAACCAGAAAAAAATGAGAATCAATGAATAATAGGCAGGCAGTTTCAGGATGGTTATTTCTGTGTTGTTTTCTGCCTCCCAGCACAAATTTAGAAAATCTCTCAATAGTGATTGCTGCAATGCTTGTTGTCAAGGTGTAGCAATGGAAGGAACACCCATCCTTATTTATCGTATGCTTTCCTGAAGTATCTGGTTTTGTTAGCTCTCAGAGACAATTTGCAGAAGTGGCCTGCCTCAGCACTGTCATGCTTATCTTCTGTCTAAACTCAGTGTCAGAAGCAAAAAGGGATGTTGGGTTTTTTTACTGATGTTTTGGGGTTGGGTTTTTTTAGAGTGACATAGAATGTCGCATTTTAATGCCAAATCTAAAAATCTTTTTGAGGTGTATATTAGAAACAAATATTTTTCATATCAAATCTGAATATCATTGAATGTAAGTGTATCTGGTCTCTGGCAATACTGTGTAAAGTTCGGTATCATTACTCCTGCATAGTTAGAGAAGAAATTGAGCCAAAATTTGTTATAAAAGATATATTTCTTTTTTTTTCTTTTTTCCCCCCAGCTTTTTACTTCATTTTTCTATGGTTTTGATGAATTTAGAGCTAACCTTTCAATTTCAATATACTTAAGATTCCATATAGGGAGCTAGTAAAGGTCTGCTTGCTTCCAATGCACTGACTTCCTGATTTACATCATCTTAGGATCTAACCATATTCATACATATATGTCAGAAAACTGTGTGCATGTTTCTAGAGCTGTAACTTGTTTGCTAAGAAACCATGTGAGGTAACTTTCTACCTTCATAGGAGCAAACAAAAAGATAAGGATGTGAAATTTGACTAAATGCCTATTGTACTTTGCATGCAGTGCTGAAAGACCTTGTAATAGTCACAGATGTTTAACGAAATCAAGTTTCTTCTTGAATATTTAGTCCCAGGTGCTGTATCAGACTTACATCTAGCAGAAGTGGAAGCCACATACATAAAAATTGTTTGGAGGAAGCCACAACAACCAAATGGGATCATTACCCAGTACAGAGTTAAGGTACACATGCAGGAAACTGAGGTGACTCTGGAAAACACTATTCTTGAAGGAAAAAATAAGGTATTAATCTTTCTTTGCTAAATTAAATTTCTCTGCCTTATCTGATAGGTACAGAATGTGGAATTAGTTGTCTTCGATGAGTTGTCAATGCTTTTAAAAGCCACCTTCCTCAACACACCCTTTTTCTATGGCTGGGTTTTAAAGGGATTCTAATAACACTGTTTCCACAACATGAAAACAATAAATAGTTCTGGTAGAATGGTCCAGACTTTGTAGCTGCTGAAGGCAGGAAGCCATACCTGCAGCCCTTGAGTTCTTTGCAGTATAGGGTGACCTAATAGTAAGAGTACAAATTTAGGTGCCTAGATTGATTCATAGCCACTCAAGCAAACTCTTAAAAGATGTCGGTGTGAATCCTATGGAGAAGTGAATTCAACAGAAGTCTCTCAAGGCTGGTTAAGTGCTCTGCTTGCAAGACAAACACCCCTAGACTTTCTGCACCTATTTCTATCCTTGAATTTATATGTCTGATACTACATGCTGAACTCCATGCTATGGTTATATGCTAAGTATATCTGCACACATCTACTGGATCAAATCATTTAGGGAACTCATGCTGTCAGTCTAGCTTCTGGATTTAGGTGCTGATGTCCTCTACATGCTTAGATGGCACAGCTCTGAGCATGCAGCACAGAACTGTAGACCCCTAGCAAAAATCCAGCTCAGGACTGAGTGCTTTCTGAGGTAGGGCTTTTTGGTCTGAATTTTGAGCATAGGTGCCCAAAGTTTGTATATTTCCTCTTTTTAGACAATAATGTCTTTCTCTGGATCTGACACAGTATCTGCATTTTTGTTGTAGAGCTCAATGAAGGCATTTGCTTTCAAGTTGAATGGTGTATATTAAATAGAGCCCTGGAGCTCTATTAAAAATCAAACATTAAATAAGGAGTAAGGGGGGCAAAAATGGGGATAAGGATACATTCATTAAACCAGGCGAGCATCCTTGGAAAATGAAAATACATAACCATAATTAAAGATCATATCATAGTACAGACACAAAAAGGCTGAATCTTATCTGCACAGAGCTGTTTTCATGATGGCATTTCCTAATTTTTGAGTTCTTAGTATAGCATCATTGTGGCTTTATTGTAGTTTATTGAATGTATTTTTTTAATTAAAACCCAAAACAGATCATTATAAACATAACTTTATTTAGAACTGCATTGAGCCAAGCTTAGAGCAGCTGCAGGGTTTGAACTGTCAGATCCACAATACTAATGGTACTCAATAACTAGTAGCAGCAAAAAGCTGTTGTCTTATATGTGGAAAAGCCTCTGAAGCAAAAAGTATTTTCACATGGGTTACTGTTTTTCTCTAAAATGTTGAAGATAATGCATATATATATTTTACCTGTTGGTACTTAGGTTAGATTGATGCTGTATCTCTGCCTGTGGTTAATCCTACACTAGTTAAAGCAGTGAAAAAGCTGCTTTGCCCTCTCTCCACCCAGAGTCTGTAAGGAAAGAGCTAATGTGGATTAGTTACATCACTTTAAAAGCATCTTTTTCTGGCAGTGAAGTAAGCCATATGTGTGAGCGGGGAGCGTTCACAGATGACAGCAGAACAATTTAGAGACACTGGAGTCCTGGATTTGGTCCCAGATTCTGAAGGGGCATAACGATCTAGTGCTTACACACCATTTTGTACCTATGCTCTAGCCTCTCTTCTGCTTTTGATTTTCCCCTCTTTGTAGGTCTTGCTCACCTTATACCTACTGCCACCCCTCTCTGATGATTGTCTTTTGCCCCTTCTGTTCTATGGACCTCTGTATCACCTCCCTTTCACTCTCTCTTTTCACATATATACTCACTTATTTTCCCTCTACCTTACATTTGCCTAGTAGAGGCATCTGAAGCCCTCTTGTTTTCAGTGACTGCAACTCTGTTTCAGAACATGCTTAGCACAAATGGAATCTTTAGAGCTCAAGCATGGAGTTATTCAACATAACTCCAAGGCTATAGCATTAAAGTTAAAGGCCTTGCTCTAAAATTGCCACTTTACTATAAAAAAACATATTTTAGGAAATAAAAAAAAAGTGTTTGATTAAACAGTAAAAATGAATAAAAGGTTGTAGGCTACTAGCAGCTGAGCTTTTGCATGAGAAATACTGTGTTTTGCAAAGTTAATTATTGTTGTAATGTTTGTATGCCAACATATATATAGTGTGTATATATATATATGCACAAATATACAAACACTATTTCTGTATTATACATTAATTAAATACTTTAGCAATGACAAGGATTGTGGTTCATTCTTACCTTTCTAATTTTTAGTATTTGGTTGATTCTTTGGAACCATACATGATAAATGAAAACATCAAACCTTCTCCCACTTGGAGTTCAATGGAAACAGCCAATGAATTATATGAAGGTTCAGCTGAAATGTTTTCCAGCATTCAGACAGCATCCCCAGTCATATTTACAAGTGTATCTGGTGATAATTTGCCCCCTATAAACGGAGCTGCAGAACTACATTCTGCTTTGGGTAAGATATTTTACATTATTTTTCTACCTGCTGCTTTGTTCTGAAGGACCCCCATCACTGTCCCAGATATGATCTTTAGCACATGGTTCAAGCAAATGATGAATGGGTCATTTGTTGGAGTCAGATTTTTTTACCACCAAATAACCTTCTGTACCAAATGGGAATGCCACACAGGCAGGAACTAGCCCCTTGTCACCCAGCTGACCTTCTTCCTAGTGAAAGGAGCACCCGAAAGCCATCAGCCAAGCTGCATAGACAATCAGTTATTACAGTTGCCAAAGCAGGTGTGATTGTCAGGGATTAACATATCTCCAAGCCCTTCAGAGACCTTGATTTCTGTAACCCTTTTGACTAATAGGTTTTCAAATGTCAGTGAAGGTAAATAGGTCAGAAAGTTACAACTTTTCTATATGGGTGACAAACAGGTGGACATGACCCCATGACATGGTGATGTCATTAGTGTGTACACTTGTTCTGTATTATCAATGGACAAGTGTTTCTTTACCATGAATGGATATTTACAAATCATTAAGCAGACCTCAGCCGACAGGCAGGGACTTAACATACGACTCTAAATTTTTACAGTGAGTTTTGAACAGTGGGAAGAAAGTCAAGTTTTTATTTTTTTATTCTTGTTTATTAAAGTCACCCAATTCCTCCATATACACAAGTACTTAAACCTAAAATTTAATCCATTAGTTTAAACTACAGTGGATCTTTTCTGTACTATATTAATCCTGAAGAATCTTTGTCATATAAAGAAAAAGTACATTGCTTTAAATGCAGATCTTTTTGTAGCCTCATTCAGCTTGAGGTATCGAGTTCCTAAAAGATGTCTGTGTTGCTGAGAAATTGATTTCGGTGTCTGTTGTAATCTAACACATGAGTATTATTTTATAGTAGTTTCTATAGTAGTTAAAGCTGTTGACAGCCAAATTTTCAACAGGGTCTGCTGATTTTTAAATGCCTTTATTTTAATGCTGTTCTCACAATACTCTGAGGCTGCTACTCAAGAAGTACCCACATTTCCATGTTGCAGTGGCATAATGGCTGCTTTATGAGAGCTGATTTTGACTAGCACGTTTAGATTGCAGATGACTTTGAACTTTATTGCAGATGCACCAAAACCTCTTTGTAGGCATGTATGACTTCTTCATTGTGTTGACCACAATTCTTCTGCTAAAAATACCAGTGTGAAGGGACTGATGAGGGGAGCCATCTCAAGTATATTTATTATAGCACCTTTGGGTGGGGGACTCTGTCTTTCTCAATTAAAAAAATAAACCCAAAACTAAACCTGTATTAACTTAGGAGCCACGGTTATGAAGTCATTTGAAACACTAAGCTATACACTTCCCATCCTTTCCCCATTCTATTGAAAATGGAGATTCTAGGGTTCTTAGAGGATTTCTCTCAAATGTTTATGGAAATGGCTGAGTATAAACCTCATGGGTTTAGTTCTTGACTGTTCATTCTTTCACCTAGGCCAGTCTATTTGTTGTACACATGAAAATGGACTTACAATAGCCTCTCCTTGATTGCATTAAGAGGTGAAGTGTAAACTTTTCTTTATGTTTTTGTAATTGCTGTGAAAGTTAATTCTTTTGCAGTAAAATAGTTCCAGGGTGCAGTGTCAAAGTGAGTTTAGAATGCAAAAGAAAAAAATCATTTTATGAGTAAGTAACTATTTACCTTCATGTAATCACAGATAACATTTTGGCTGAAGAACTGTCATATGTTATAAAAGGCCTTATACCTTTCACAGACTACACTATCAGTGTGTCTGCTTTCACGGCTGTTGGGGAAGGACCGCCATCAGTTCTTATGGTCAGGACACATGAACAAGGTAAAATGTTCTAACTCTGGTACTATCAAGGTTAACCTACATGGCTTTTTTTACTGAACTTTGTTTTGTAATTTATTTGCTTACTCTTCTATTTTTCTGTTTTTGTTTAAGTTCCAAGCTCAGTACAAAATATATCTTACAAGAATATTAGCTCCTCCTCTATTTTGCTGTATTGGGATCCTCCAGCAAGTCCCAATGGGAAGATCATTCATTATACTGTTTATGCGATGGAACTGGATACAAAAAGAGCATTCCACACAACAACTTCAAACAACAGCTTACTTATGACAGGTACAGTGTCATTTCGTCAAGAAAACAAAAATTGCAAATACATTATACAAAATTTTTTTTTCTACTTTATGTAATGTAATTTGCAATGAGACCAAATATCCCCTATCCACATGCAGACACATACACACACACATTACAACTGCATGTAAAAGCAAGGTAGGGTCACTACTGATAGATTTGTCTGCTGTGGAGGGGTATGTTGGGAATGTGAAATGGGAGAAGAGGACTAGGTAAGTTGAGCAGTAATTTGTGAAATGTGCCAAGTAGGAATTTCTGAAATAAACTGAGTAGTAATTTGTGAAATGGATTTCTGCATGGAATTTTGTCCTCAGCCTCTTCTTCCCACATAGAAAAATATTCCTAAATTGTCAATTCTTTTTCAGACTTGAATTTTTTTCACAGCATTGGTCTGACATTAATAATTATCTTCTTCTTCTAAGGCAATAATTTTGATAGTAATTGAAGAAAATACATTCCTCATGTGTTTCAGTTTTTTATTAATACTAATCAGAGTAATGTATAAAGAATAAAAATGCATATTTGGATGTACACATAAACATTCTTTGTTTTGAAAAATAAATCCTTAAAGCTATTTAGAAGTTTGAGGCTGTTTGACTTATTTCAAAATCTGTTGATTTGACTGAGTGCTTGTTTGGCCTTCCCTAAATAAATTGTATTCTACATATTCTGTCTTTTAGGTGACAAATGTGATCAAACCTCTTAGAACAGTAACCATTTTGATAGTTTTATAAGTAGCTATGAGGAAAAAAATATGTTTAAGATTTGTCAAGATTTCTTTTCCTGATCTTTTTAGGTTTAAAAAAATACACGAATTACAAAATGAGAGTCGCAGCCTCTACCACAATTGGAGAAAGTGCTTTGTCTGAAGAGAATGATGTTTTTGTGAGAACCCCTGAAGATGGTAAATACATTGTTTGCAATGATGATTTGATTTCTGTATTGAAGTTTGCACTTCTTCGGAAGACTGGGCACATACATAAGGAGGGGAAGAAAGTGTACAAGTAAAATCCGTGTTTGTTGAAATGATTACTCTTGTGTCAGTAAGTGACTTTATTCAGACCGTTTTTAGGTAAGTGCTAGAAATAATGATGAAAGCTGTAGCATGAACAGCATTTGACTAATTTCAACTCTGATAGACAAACAGAGAAAGGTTTTTACAGTGAATGATATTATATGCAGTAGGTTTTGTACAGGTTTGGGGTTTTATTATTTTTAAGATTGATCAATAGTTTTAATGTAGGATATAATACTGCTTTGTGAAGATTTCTGGATCTTTCTTGCATGGCAGTCCCCACCCATGAAGGTACAGGATCAGTAGGTGGAGTTGCCATTGGCCTCTGCAAAAAGGATGTGGGAATTTAATTTACAGGGCAGAGTCTTCAGTATTAAACCTTAAACTTTTCTCATTTCTATCAAGTTTATATTTTCACTGGTTTCAGCGAAGTTATTTCCAGTTTTTTTGTCAAAGTAATAAAGAAGGTAATTGTCCAATTGTTATTTGTCTATCTTATTGCAAAATAAGCTACAGAACACAAAAAACAATTAAGTGAGAACAAGGGAGAGAAAAAGATCAAAAACCATGGGGATTTAGGAACCGTAGATGATCTGAATAACTAACCAGAATATCAAATTAAACAGTGAAACTTAATGCTTGTAATTATTTTTTTTAAAGGTTGCATGCATCTATGCCGTTAGTATTTTGCAGAGGAAAGGCGTATGACAAGATCAGATAATTGCTTATCTAAGTATCTTTTCCTCTGAAAGTTTGCAATTCCTTGCCTTTAAGCATTACAGAAATTTGTTCAGAGTGAAGTTTAAGGCCAACAGTTCATCCATTGGTAAGAGATGTGTGGAAGCCTTAAGGAAACTATTGAGAAACCCCCCAATAATGCCTGCCTTTTTATTAGGCTGTGTGTAATTACTCTTTTCTTCTTGTTGTTCTTTAATTTTCCTGAGGTAATTCAGGTTGAGATTTATGTCTCCTAACTTTAGCCAACCTAGGAGTAAAAATTTGTCTGAGCCTTGAAAAGAGAGATACTTTCAAGTAAAAGATTCACTACACATCTGTCTTAGACTAGTTATGTTAGGATGGAAGGTACTAGGCTGTTATGTTTAAATACTTTACAATGCCAAATAAACTGCAAACTGCATTTCAATTGAAAATTAAGCTGCTTCTTGTGGGAAATATCCGTGTAGGCAGTCTTATTATCCAGAGAGTAGTGATCTGTTACAGTTAACACTTCTCATTCACAGGCTCAGAAATCAGGGATGAAAGTTATTTGTAAGACCTTTTGTTCTGAGAAAAAAAAAAATCATTATAAATTCTGAAATATCTGGATATAGGTATTTGTACCCAAACTGGATCACATAATCCTAGGTTCTTAGTACATTTTAAGATGTTATAAGCAGGATATTTCAGAGCTGAAGTGATGAAGCCTTCAAAAGAATCAAGGTTGACTGTCAGAGCTGATTTTCTTCAGCTTGCACTGCTTGCACCTTCAACACTTCCGTGCATTTTTAGCTCACTGGAGTTACATGAACTCATGTGTTGGCAGTAGAGTTAGCCAACATGCTACCCAGGAGCTGGACTTGTTTTGTGTGTGATCTTCACACCAGTGCATGTGAGATTTACGCTGGCGTCTTCGTGGTCATCGATTAGCAGCTGTATCGATAAACTAAAGGGAATTTAGTTACAGCGCATACAGTCCCTTTTTTCATTCAGTGGTTGGTTGAGTGAAATAAGAGGGGTGGTTATTTAAGAAGAAAGCAGCAAGATGGCATACAGTTAAATTTAGAGAACCTGAATTTGAGGAAATTTGAAGGATCAGTCTGCATGAGAGCAGTAGACAAAAGAGATTATTTCTTAATAAATGCAGTTTTGGATAGATTTATAAGTGGATTAGAAAAGAAATCCCAGAAAAGCTGAAGTGTCTGGGATTCAAAAAGATGCCTGGTTTTATGAGTGGAAAAGAAGACATACTAAAATTAACAGTTAAAAATCGGTAAAGCTTTGAGAAGGAGAGTGAGTGAGTAGCAAAATGGTAGCAAAAGGAGTAGCCCTTTTGATACAGTTAGCTAATCTAAGTGTTAGATTCCAGTAGGTTTATGAGATCAGTCCTATATTCAATTAATTGAAAGTCTCAGAGGTTTCTCTCTTTGATTTCTGTATTGCAGAACCAGACTCCCCACCCCAAAATGTAGAGTTAATAAATGTAACTGCAACACAAATAAATCTGAGATGGTTACCACCTGAGCAGCCTAATGGTCTCATAACTCACTATGAAGTTCTGTACAGTGATTCCAATGATCTGTTTATTAAAAATGCATCATTTACAAGTATATCACTAAGTGAAATGAAGCCATATACTCGCTACAACATCTCTGTAAGGGCATTCACTAGACTTGGCCATGGGAATCAGTCATCTTTCCCATTTCTGGTGAGAACTTCTGAAACTGGTGAGTATATATTTAAAAAAATAAAATATTTCCCCAATCAACTGCTTTATGGTGACCTTTGATGCCCAGGAGATCAGTTTAATTAATTTCAAAGGTACATGTTTGCTTTGCAAAGCAGTAAGTTTGAACCTTGTTTTCTCTTTCATGTACAAAGCAAAAGTAAGGAAATAAGGAAGCTTAAGAATTAAAGAAAACAGTGGGACGTTTTATGCCTGATGGACTTCATGTATTTTACTGTTTGTTCTTGAAGATTACTTGTGTCTTGAAGGAAAATAATTTTTTGTAGGAAGAGAGGAGTTTCAAAACATGAGTACAATTTCTAATTCAATCCCTTGAGGAACAGGACACAAACATCTAGTTTTTAGATTGCACAAAACAGTAGTTGTAATAGAAACACCAAGCTAGCTCTGCCAAGGCATTGTGCTACTTTTGAGGACTTTTTTAGTATGTGTACATAGGTATGTAGGCCCTTGCCCAACTGATACAATGTCCTTAGACATAACCTTTTTTATTGCTTTCTTTAACTTAGACATCCATCTTTTGTCTAAGTTGTATTTTAACGCAGTTGGTTCTTTCTCAGTGCCTAACTCCACTGATGCTCAGAACACAAATTTGAATCCCAGCTGCCTATGATAGAGATGAGAAGCTCGAGAAGCTGCAAAAATAACTTCTGAGATGACAAGAATAAAACTAGGGAAGGATATGGAGAATAGATTATTTTGAATGAAACACAGCCTATTAATGGGCTGGTGTGTTTGGAGAGCTCTTGGGAGTTCTCTGTTACCATTCTACCATGAAATTAGGCAGAATTGTAGGCTGATTTTACTGCTTCTCATGGTGTTTATCCCCTTTCTGGATATTGTGTAACCAGAAATTATTTAGCCTTTTGAATGCAGAGTCTTATCAAATGTTAATGTATTTATGAGAATATTTAAGGCATCCTAAAACCATATCCATTGCTTACTTGACCTTTTGGGTAAATTGTGCTGTCACTGTATGATTATGATTCTCTGGAATAAGATACATTATGTTGTCAGTCCAGTTTTGGATAATGGCAAACATATCTATGTATTTGTTTGGGGACAGGCAGGCAGAGGCACACAAAACCAATTGTCATGAGACAGCAAGGGCCACCTGCTTTGTAAGGGAGGGGGAGCCAAGAGCTGAGGGTATCCCTGGGCCAGTAAGGCAGTGTCTTCACTAGCTAGGACTTGTCCCACCAGCCCCCAGTGAAGGGAGCAGGGCAGGTTTGGGGGTGGCAGCAAGGGGCAGCCCAGAGTCCAGATTGCTAAACACTCCACATTGATGAGGGAGCTCTGAGGTCAAGCCAGGAAAGTGAGTTAACAGGTTCAGTGACACTAACCAAGTCAGACGCAGCCCAGCTGACAGCTGAGCAGGTCTGTAGTGTTGGGGCCAGCCTGAGGTCAAGCTGCAACATCAGTTTGCAAGTCAGGATCTAGATCAGTGGGTCCGTGGCCAAGCACAGCTATGGTAGTGATGCAGCAGGAGCTGTAGCTCAGGCAGGGGCAAAGCTGAAAGCAGCTCCCAGGGCCAGCAGTCAGCCCTGGCTGCAGCTTCACTGCAGTATTGCCTGGGAGCAGGCAATGAGTAAGGAGGCAGCAGTCCTCAGCTACTCTACTGCTGAACTGGCCCTCCGGAAGGGGGTTTGCTTTCAGGGCCCTTACAGCTCCCTTTGTTTTTCCATACAAGTATTTACGCAGTTTGTATAGATCACCCAAGGAAAATGAAGGAAATGCAAGTTGTGATACAAAGTGTAAGTTATGGCAGCCAACACAGGAAATTTCCTACCAACACTAAGCTGGAGAACTGCAGTGATAAGAATGGGGTGTTAGAAGGAAAGTTCAGTTTCATGCTTGAGATTTTTTTAACTGTCATGTTAAGATTATTGCCTTTTTTTTTTTTAATGACCTGTACCTTGTTGTTACACTGTGTCTGACGTGGTTTTGATCTTCCAATTAGCCTCCTTTACCATTTATTTTATGCAAAAAAATAGGATAAAAATCCAAATGTTCACAATGTGTTTCATTTAAACTGGTTTAAGGAGATACTTAACAAACCAATGAAACTGACAGTAATCTGTGAGTCTCAATTTTGTCTTCTAGTTCCTGATTCTGCACCAGAAAATATAACCTATAGGAACATCTCATCCATGGAAATTGAATTATCATTTTTTCCACCATCTGTTCCCAATGGAATCGTACAGACCTACACAATATATCTCAGGAGGACTAATGGAACCGAGCAAAGAATCATAAACACTACTCTTTTGACACTACATATAACAGGCCAGTATATAATATGGCAACTGTAACTTTTTCTGAGAAGGAGTCAATAGACTCATGCAAGTCAATTATTTCATTGGTTGGACATCATCCTTCTTGTCGTTATATAAAGATACGTTACATGTCCTGAGAAATAGCCTGTTGTGATGTGCTGTAATATAGTGAAATGGGGCATGAATGTTATACTATAATATAAATCTTGTTGTATTTTAGATGTTTAAAGTACAAGGAACTTCAGCAGATTTCTTTGCATGTCTATCATCGTACCAAACACTCAAGTCATCTACGTATGTTTTCCTATCTTATTGCAGATAAAAAGAAATCCTTCCCTTTCCACTCACCTTTGCATTTTTCCTATGTTCTGCCATTATTACTGAGGCATGACACAGCAGTTAATGCTGGGAGCTCAGTACCTTAATAAATTTTTAGAGTAAAGCCAAGAACAAACTGTAGAGCATTCTAGGAATATGAAGTATAAACTGTTAATTAGGGCTGCGCCCCTTCTTTTGTTCATGCAAAATACCGTGTGTTCAAGTTTTGCTAATGCATATTTCAGTCTCTAAAGACACAGATAAGTGTAAATGATTGGCCTATTTAGCACTTCAGAACTACTTAATGGTCAATTCAAAAACCTAATTTGGCCCAGTGGATGGTTGTTTTATTGAATTCTGCTTCTTTATTTAGATTTAAAGAAATATACAGAATACACTGTACAAGTGTCTGCTAGTACTGCAGTGGGGGAGGGCCTTCGTAGTTCACCTCTGCATATACTGACAGATGAAGATGGTAAGTCAAAACAGAAGTTGCAATGTATCATTGTCTGCCTGTCGTCCTAAACTAATCTTGCACTTCATGTCAGATATGTGTTGGTTTTACATACTTTTTTTGCAATTATATCTCTGTATTGATATTTACATCTGTCTACACAAAACATCTATCTATCTATCTATTATTTTATATATTTATGAGTACAAGCTATGTGAAATGGCATCGTTGCTGTGCATGGACATTTGGTCTTAGCAGTATCTTCTGAATTTGAAGAAACTTAATTCACTAATATTATTTTAATCTAATAAACCACATGGTTAACTGCTGTGATTCTGCAGACACGTGAGACCTGGAGAACGGGAAAACTACCAAAAACCAGCTTGAATGGTCCAGGGACATTTCTGGTTCTTCTGTTTGGAGATTTTTGGATTCTTCTAAACAGATGCATGTAAAGATACACATGTATAGATGTAGAATTATTAATATTATGAAAATGCTCAAAGTCCATTATCTGTAGTGCTGGACTCCCAAATTGAGCAGAAGAGTGTTCTGCACTGCAGGTTGAGGGTAGAACACAGTCATTGCATCCCCTGCTAATTAGTACAGTGGGTCATAGATCACCAGAGGAACTTTAAAATTATATTTGTACTTTCAGTACCCAATTTAGTTGTAGGAAGTTACCATTGGTCCCCTCTATCATTTCTGGAGGGGGAATCCTGAAATAAATCCAGAGCAGAATCTCACCTTAGATTCTGTGACTCGGATTTTGAAGGAGTCTGTGTCTGTCCTTCTCCATTGCTTAGGGAGGAAGTCTCTGGGAATCTAGCCTAAAGGAGCACTGACACAAATATCCGTTGCCCAGTTAAGTCTGTTTTCATGTCTTAGGGAGCACTGACTTGCCTAAGATCTAGCCTTTGATGACAATGAATCTTTGCAAATCTCTAAGATGTGATGGGCTTGCATTCATACTGTCAGTAATAAACCTTTGCTCAAGAGTAATGTTACTGGAGCACACTGGGAACAGCAGATTTGGATAAACGCATCTTTTGCATAGAGGATTTTTTTTTTAGAAGAATGTAGATTCTATTCTTCAGCAAAACTATCCAATGAATAAGAAATGTAGCATGAACTAGACATGCCAAACAGACAACATTCACAGTATGACAGATCTTTTACTATATAGCCACTGAGGATAATATAACAAGTGAAACACTAAATACAGCTGTCACCATTTTTCGCTAGTATAAATACAGACATTGACTGATTTCAGTGAACCTTTGTTCATAAAAGATATCTTTTCTTACATGTAGAGAGTTCTGAAACCTTTATGCCAACTTTTGAAATAGTGAAAGAAGGAACAACTGAAAAACAACAGTATTTATAATACACCACATGTTCTTTATTCAAAGGAACACAGTGTTCCAAGGTTCAGACCAAATGTTTCATAGATTTGCTAATAGCTGTGCTCATATTCTCAATTTTCATGCATGACTACAGCTATGACCTGAATTTTTAGTGCATGATGCTCCTTAGTTTAATTTGAGAAAAACAAAAGTAATTCTAGTATTACTTCATAGTGATACATATACATCTGTGAATCAAGATGAAGAAAGATTTATTTCTCTGTAACATGCTAATACAAAGCTATATCACTTAATTCATATATATCCATATTTTCATATATATCCATATTTTTCCTCAGCAGTATTTATATGAACTTCAGAATGCAATCAAACACGGTCTAACATTTTCATTTTCTTACATTGTTTCCTTACACATTTGTGGTATGGTGTCATGTGGAGTTCATCTTAAAATGAATTTTAAGGGTCTCAGTCAATGCCTATCTTTATATTTCGCCTTGTGACATGTTAAATGTGTGAATATGGTCCTTATTTGATGGAGTGAATAGATTTTACCACTGCCTAGTATCCCCCATTTTTATAATGTCTCAATGCTATGCTTAATCATTTTCCCACCTTTTGGTGCTTTGTATAATTCTTTACAACACCTCTTTTTCCTCAGGGGAACTATTTTGCTGTATTTTACGTGTGTTCATACCTATAAAGCTCTTTTATTAGAAGGAGAAAAAAAATTACAGCAATGTATTTGGACAGTAGGTGAATCTCTGTGACCTACCCGTTGCTCTGTTTTCTCATGAAGTACTTTTTCCATTGAATCACAGAAACAGATGTTCTAACACCACCATGCAAAATCTTCTTTTATCATCTGTCACAAAACCGGAAGAGAAGCTGCGCCTTAACAGTAGTTGATGGGTAGTGTACTGGTGTCGTGCAAAGTTCACTTTCCATCACAAATAATTAAAAATCTATTTAAGGGTGCTGTGCATCCCATCGATCTTAGTTGTTTAACAAGATGTTGTGTCCTGTTCTCTCATTTTATAGCTCCGAGTTCTCCTCCAGAATCCCTCTCCGTAAAACAGTTGTCGGGTGTCACTGTGAAGTTGTCATGGAAACCTCCACTGGAGCCAAATGGAATTATCCTCTATTACACAGTTTATGTCTGGTAAGATTTTCTGGAAGTAGTTCTGAGGATAAATATTAATCTGTAACCTATCAGGAATGTTAGGTTTTTCTTACACAATGTGTTGATTAAACGTGTTTGGAGAAAAATATTCATCCAGCACTTAAAATACTAGCCTTTTATATATACAAATGCAGATACAATGTAGTAGCTGAAAATTGAGGTATTAAATCTTTGGTAAGCATTTTCAATGTTTTTTTCTAAAGGTTATGTTATGGTAAATGAATTAAAATTTAAATTAGGCCTATTGTAAGGCAGGACACAAGCCTATGCTAAATTGTCAAGGAGATTTGAAATAGTCTTAAAATAGAGAAATAGTGATTCCTTTTGTAGAAAGTGTGTAAGAGCAATGTTAAGAGTCTTTGTTTTGTCATCAGTTACGTCTACTGTTACATTCTGTATTTATGATATTCATAGCAAATGAGTATTTTAAACCAGGTATTTTTTATTTACTGTATTGTTTGGGGTTTTTTTATATCTGTCCTTTCTTTTTCCCTATTTTTTTTTTTCTGTCATTCCTCCTGGGATCTTTTTCACCTTTAAAAATTTTGTCACTTTAAAACTTGCAGTTTCTGTCCTATTCTCTGCATAACTTAATTTGGTTTAGTGATATGGTGTCTTTTCAAAGCTCTGTATAACTTTTCCTGGGAGAGAAAAGATTTTGTTAATGATCACTTTTAATATACTGCATTTATCTGCAGCATTTTATTGCTGCTAATGCTAAGGTTCAGGAAGCAAATACTAATGTGCACCTTATGAGATATGAACCAGATGTGCAAATCAGCAGTTGTTGTAAGCACACTACTATTGAGCTTACATTTATTATTTTAATGTTACTTGACAGTCTGGGGGTAAGGTTTGGCCTCAGTTCCTACTGATTTTTTTTTTTTTAATTATAGCTGGTAGTTAAGATGGTGATAAAAACAGGAGTGAGATCTTCTTTCCAGAAAAGTTAAATTTGGTTTGTCTTGTTATTTCTACTGTATTGGCAAGGTCTGGTGCTCTTTAACCACAAAAAACCCCATTAAATTAAAGATTATCCTCTAGCTAGGAAAGAGTTAATTCACAATAAGGATAATGGTTTTGAAATAGGCTGTGTTCAAAAACTTGAGGCTATACAAGTTTTCATCCTTATATCACCTTAAAGCTTACTGCTTTTGTTATTATGACAATTGAGTTAGTAAGAATTATTTTTTTAAAAACTGTTAATTGACCCATCTTTCTAAATATTTTAATCAAGCAACCGCACAACTTTTTGCAGTAAGCCTTGTCCTTTTTCCTTCCATATTCTCCTTGCTCTGTCTTATCTGTCCTTACTGTGCCATATCTAAAATTAGAGAGGCATTAGGTATCATCTTGAGGCAAGGACAGTGGAGAAAAACTCCCGTTGCCTTCAAAGGGGACGCAACTTCACCCCTTCCTTGGAGTTTGGTTGGGTTTTTCTTTGAGGGGGGAGGAGGGAGAAAGGGAGAAGGGAATCTTAAGTGTTTAACAGAATTGTCTATACAATTTCATAAAGTGCATAAAGTGTAAGGTGATATTTGACAAGGTAAACTGCCATGCCATAGTTGCTGCTTTTGGGAGGCATTCAGTATATTCTGGGGGAGACTGTTGATCCCAGAGCTTCTCAATAAAGCAGAAAGAAGAAATTCAGTATGTATGTTAAATAAATGTTCCTTCTGTTAAATATATTGCAACAGCTATAGAAAAATTTATAACCTTCCTTTAATGGATTTGGAAGAAGAATCTACAACTATGAGTATAGAAACGGTAATATCTGTAATGTTTTCATTGTTATTATCTTTCAAGGCATTTGTCACAGGACAGGGTAGTTTTGGGTGCTAGCAGGTAGCAAAGCAACATTCTGTTTAGCTTGAGTCTACAAACCCATAGTCCCTGTGTCTGCAATTCTAGAGTATTAATGGCATATTCACAAAAATGCTGAACTTTGTATATAGCTATTGCTTTTGATATTATCCTGTTCTTCCTAACTGCCTGATTTTAGAAATGCTTTTTGGAAAATAAGATGTTATGAGAATGCAATTATTCAGACCAGAAGTGTTTGCAGCAGTAAGCTGTGGATTTTCTTCTTACTTAAATTATAGCCAGCAACGTTTTTCCATACTAAGAATGTATCAGGCACAGATCCAAGAAAAGATGTCTTATCTTTGTATAGAATTTGGTAACTACAGCAGGAACCTTTGTATTTCTTTACTGACTATTCAGAATGTCAGAAGTTTGGGAAAAATGTAAATGTTGTCAACTTTCTCTGTTACTGAGAGCGTTTCCCACGTCAAGAGACATTCCACTCGAAATCTGAAAGGGGTAGTGAGAATTTAGTTTTTTTATTCTCATATGTTTTGTCATTCCTATAGGTTGTTAATATAACTTTATTTCAGGAGTATCAGACAGTGATCTTTTCTAATGGGACATTCATTCATTGATCAGAGGATGAAAATGAGCCCATCTATTAATTTTGAATCAACATTTCCCTTTTTTTTAGAATTAGAACTCTTTCTCTTGTTTGTGAAGAGCTCCTCAGTGACTTCAGGAGCAATATACTCAGTTTTACTTGTCAAATTATCATCCCCATATGAAATCCCATTAAAGATACAGGGCACCCTCTCATACAGAAATCAGGAATGAAACTTTAGCTAGCTTTTTTCCCCTGCTATTTATTTTTCATAAAAGATTAAATTAGTTTAATAAAGAATAGAAGACTTTTTGAATTCAAGTTAGCTATTTCTGTATCTTATTTTACTTTCTGATAATCATTTCATACCTATGCTAATACCAGTGTTTTATTAATGTTAGATCTTACAGTCTTTCTAGGCGGGTTTTGACCTGACTAGAGTTCCATTCTGATCCCCTGCTACATTCCACCAGAATTAACTCAGCACCAGCTAATTCCTGTTCCATATCATCTTCTATTATTCCATTTATAACTTCAGCCTTCTGACCAATTTCACAGAGTCACAGGAGGGCATGCTCTCTGCTATAATCTTTTTATATTTCGCTATTCCTGTCCAGAGAGACAGTTTAGTTATGCCCTACTGTGTCCTTCCCAAGGGTACCACATAACCATTTGATAGTAGTTACTAGATGTACATGCTTCTCCTTGAAATTCTGTAGAACCATTGTCTTTGCTGATGTAATTTGCAAATATATTTCTGTGGGGATTTTGTTCTGGTTTTGGAGGGGGGGTGTTAAAGCAAAATTAAGAGCCCTGTTGTGATGCAACACTACAAAAGTCAGCTTGTCTACATAAAAGACAAAAGTTATCCCAGACTTTTTTTAAAGGCCAAAATACTTGTAGTTACCACAATACTGCATTTTTCAGCTTTGTGTCGTATGCCACAGTTGCATACATACAGAAATGGTGTCTATATATAATTAATAAATAACCTTTTCTTTAGGAATAAGATGTCAAAAAGGAGTGTTAATGTAACAGAAACATCACTGCAGTTCATAGACTTGGAATATAACTATGAGTATAGTGCTTACCTAACAGCAAGTACAAGATTTGGAGATGGGAACATAAAAAGTGATACTATAACATTCAGAACTTCTGAGGGAGGTAAGCTTATATGTAGTATGAATCTTTCATTTCATTCAGACTTAAGTTTCTGTCAGCCTTGTTTAAGTTAATAAAGCTACTGAAGTAAAAGTGGCATTTGACTAGTCAAGAAGAGACATTCAACCTGTCTGTCTGTGTGTGTGTCTGTTTGTGCATATATCTATGGCTCTATAAAGTTATGATGGGTATTTCTGTTAATTTACTGAGCAAAACTTTGCATTTCCTTTCAAGACAAGTAAGATTAAACTAAATTAATTTTAAATTTTGAAATAAATTAATTGTATAATATATTTTAATAGCTCTTTGCTTTATCTTGCTGTGACACAACTTCTAATACAGAAAATACTCTTTAGAGTCTATATCACAAGTCTGATGGTTTTAATTTGAAAATGAAATCTCTAAGTGTACAATGATTTAGTTTAATGACTTTATAATTCCAACACAGTAGATGACTTTTATGAAGGATCATAGTATATACTGTCCTTTGAAAGTCATTCAGTGTAATTATTGTTTCTGGTTTTCCCATCTATTCTATTGCTATAATCTGTTCCAAAATGGATAGTATGTAGGCATATTTCAGAATCATCCTGCATAGATAAACTGATTTCCCAACACACAATCTCTGGCAGGATTAGCCATCCAAGCCATCCCTCAAAAGACTATCTATCTAAGTCATCAGGTCATAGGTATTCCCTGTCTTTGCTCTGGAAGTTGTAGTGGAAATGTGAACTGACTTTTTAGGGCAGGATTTTTAGGAACTGATTGTGGAGTTCTGCCTCCAATTAATATATTAGTGTTTGATACAAACTAGAAGAGCACAAAGCGAGAGAGAGAAGGTAGTTTGTAGTGTTCGGTATTCTGCGGCACATTGTGTAGAGCACTTTCTTGGATGGCAAGAAATACAGATTTAAATTCTTTTAAACCAACTTAAGGAACCGAATTTGAGTTTCCTACATTGCTGTGCTACTGAAAAAGACCATATGATGCAATTCTATTAGGAGGAGAGGCTAACTGAAGAAGACATAGAGGAGTCCTTCCTCCATATTTAACAGGCTGACAAAAGGTAAAAACAGAAATGCTTGCACTGTCCAGGCTTAAGTATCTGAAATACTTACTTGAGTTGGGAGCCTAAATTCCATTATAATTAGCAAAAGGAGAACAATGGTTTTAATTTAGTTTTCATGAACCTTTCACACCCCGCCCCCCCAGAAAGCGTATATAGAGCATAGAGGCCTCAGTCAACTTCCATGGCTTCAAATTAGACTTAGCATGTGCCCAAAGCAGTGAGAACAGGACAAATTCTATAAGAGTATCTGCTTACAAATGCAGCTAAATACAAACATGTATTGGGGAAAAAAAAAATCATTTTCAGAATTTATTTGCATCTCATTTTATTTCATCATTTCCAGAAGCAGTTTTTATACCATAATCCGAAATTTATTTAATTTAACATAGGACGTTGTCAAACCTATAGTGGATGTTTCTAGGGCACTAAAATGTACAAAATCTTGAGTTAGTTATGCTAAACTTAACATTTTTCCAGCACCAAGTGATCCACCAAAAGATGTTGTGTACAGGAACCTTACTTCCACATCAGTAATGCTATTCTGGTCTCCTCCTCAAAAGCCTAATGGAAATATACTGTACTACTCAGTTTATTTCAAAAATAGTTCAGGAATATTCATACAGGTAAGCTTTATTTTTTTTTTTTTTTGTATTCTTCTTTTGTAGAATTCAAAAGTGTTCTAATAATTCATTAAAGATTATATCAATTTTCGAGTTACCAATATACTGTTTTTTTCACATGTCCTTTATCACAAGGCAGTTTTTAAACTTATAAAGACAGAAGAACATCTTGTAATCATAGGTGTTGCATTGTGCCTCTCATTGGATGTTCGTATCAAGCATTAAAGCAAATAGGTCTTGTCTATATTCTATATTGCAAAGTTTATATTTACGTGTATATATACACACATACATCTAATACATGTATATGCACAGCATAGGTAGACATTACGTTCTTTACAAATCCTTAAGGCTGTTTATTTTGGTCTAATCTTTCAAATTGAATACATTTCTGTAACAGTTCTGGGTTTACTTTTTAATGCATGTTTTTACATTATAATTTCATATTTTTGTTACTATCCAAAGCAAATTACTGTTCAGTATATTGAAACATGGATACTGAGATTCCTCAGTTAAAGCATAAAAGACAATGTTATTTATATTTTTTTGGTGATCTGCACATTTCCATTTAGGTTTTTTTGTTGCTACTTTCATCCTTAGTTATGCACTACATTTATTAATAGTTTTTCTGTTCTACTTTCTAAGAATATATGATGATACAGAAATATAATAAGATAATAAGCTTCCTTATCATAAGAAGAAATAAGCTTTCTATTCAGGTTTTTGGTCACAAGCTTCACACATGTGGAAGAAAAGAAAGAAATATAAATTCATGAAGAAACTAATGCATGAAAAAGCACCTCTACTAAATAACTTCATGCTCAAGATATGTCTAGTGTGAGGTATGCGTGCATTTGAGGATAACTAGAAAAAAGTGTTCACAAATTTTGCAAATACCTGTGACTGAATAATTGCTATCATACTTCTCCGACTTCTGTGGAGTTGTGTGGTTGCCAGGCTCTGTCTGCATAGCTTTAGATGCAAGCAGGACCGTGCCATGAATTGACGTTCTGGTGAGATTAAAATAAGGGTTACAGTTCAGAGCTTCAGGCTCTGCTTACACTCGCTACTGTACCAACAGCATTTTTCTTAGCCTAACAAATCCCTGGAGAAACCTTTACACCTGAATTAGCCAATCTGATGAACAGTGTCTACATTTATTCAATTCTCAACTCAAGGAATTTTAGATGAGGACTATGGACTTGGGCTATTCCTGCCTTTACGAAGGTGGCATTCTGAGGGGAATGGGTAAACTGAAACTGATTCACTGAGAGCTAAAATTCCTCTGGATGTACCTAGGACTCTGAAAATGAAGGAGCAAGATAGGGAAGATAGAGCAAAGTAGCACTGGCCCAGCAAAGTGAGGGTCTGTGACATATATAGACAGTTATAAACTGTATGAGTGTATGCACACATACAGCTTACAACTGTCTGTAACATAGAAGTTAGAAACCTATAGCTGCAGGGTGTCTTGGTAAGTTTTGTGTTGCACACACTTGGAAAGAAATAATCCTTTACTGCATGTTCTGCGTCTAGGTCACCATTCTGCTTACGTTTATCCAAACTGTATTTTCAGCTTGGAAGTGATACAGGAAAACATAAAAAGTATGATCTTATCAAATTTCTAGGAACCTCACCTTCTCAGACATGCTGCCGTAGGCAGCCATTCTCAGTCAGTGTTTCATGTGCTTCTTTGTTCAGGACATAGTAACAGAGGTCAAAGTTTTTAAAGCATATCTTCTAGATGCTGGAAGAACCATCCTGGCTGATGCTCAAGAATGTCAAGCAAATAAACATCTTCCAATGTTGTCATAATCTGAAATAGATATTAAAGTCATACTAAAGTTAGTGCTACTCTGTTGTCACAAGCTCTCAGTTCTCACACACAGGTTTTAATATGCCTGAAGAGTTTGAGAGTGTATGAGAATCTGGTTATGAATATGTTAAAACCAGGAAATTAGTAACTGCAGAGTAAAGCATTTTGTAGAGGGGGAAAGAAGTCAAAGGATCTGTGAAAGTAATTGTCTTATTGCTAAATACTGATCTATAAATGATATCACTGGCTTGAATAAACTTTTTTATTCAAGCTCTATATACTTGCATTTTGATTAGAGAGAAAGTGGGAAAGGTGCGAATTTCAGTACAGATAAGAACTGCCCTGCTCTGGCAAATCACACAGAGGAACTGGCAGATAAGTAGACAAAAAAAGCCCACAGCCCTTCTGGAGACTGAATAGACCCCAAAATATTGTGCTTCAAGCCAACCTGAGTGAACATGACTGGATAAAGTTCAGAGTGAAACTCAGCTTGGTCTGCCCTCAGGATGCAGACAAGCGATGCAAGTAATGTGTTATATTAACTTAACGATCAATCATTTTCTTTTACCAGTATGACCAAAGTAGGGATAAAGAGGAACTTCCCTAAAATACACTATTGCACATAAAAAGGAAACAACATCTTCACTTAGGTTGATACTGGAACAGTGTGTATTATGCTCCTTGAGGGATGGCTTGGATTAGCCCTCACAGCGTTACCACTCTCACCTGATTACCAGAGTCAAGTATGCAATAGTCTAAAACAACGGTGTAATACAATGAACCTAAAGAAGGAAACAGAACAGGGGAAAAATGTTAACAGTGAAGAACAGCAGCACAGTGTTCCCTGTCCATAACTAGTTACAGCTTTACGCCACTGGAAGTTTCTGCCACTTCCTGAGATGACGAAGATACTACTTTCTGCTAGCACTTTCATGGCCTGTGTGTATTGCTTACACTTAGCTGCTTTTAATAATCTGATACTTTGCTATGTCAAAACTTCTTTCATGTATGGATGAAGAAAGGCACAGAAGGAAGAATTTCTTCAGCTGTAGCCAAAGATCCCAAGCTGTTTGCTTTCATCTGCAGCCACAGTTAATTGTGAAACTTCCTATAGTGTTCTATCCCCAGGGTACAATTAGTGCAAGTTCCATCTTTTCTCAGTTTGTACCCACACAGTTCTTCCTGCTCACCCTTACTCTTAATTATGTGTTCATTCTTTTCTACTATTTTGTCGTATCAGAAGTTTAATGTAATCCCCAGTTCTTGGGCTACTCATAGAAAGGGGACTACCACTTAAACCACTTTTTGATGAACTACCAAAAAGCCTGTTGTTAAAGTGTTCACACTGGTTCACTGAGTCTGTAAGTGCCGAACAGCTGACTAAATTGTTAAGGCATGCTTTTTGAACTGAGAGTTGGATTTTCGTACTGTTCGAAACCAGTAAACTCCTATTAAATCCAGAATCAAAACTTGCTGTGGTACCTTTGACATTTTTACCTTGAAAATTCAGAGAATTAGTTAAGCTATTTTAAAAAATATTTTTATTCGATATTATTACTACAGTAATGTTAATTATTAATAATTACAATATCTAATAACAATGATAATAGGAGGATAGTAAAATGGTGCTTCTGGGTCAGAAGGTTATACTGTGCTTGAGCATCAGAAAGTTTAATTAAATACCTTAGAATATGATTCTCTGTTTCCTGTCTCTTACCTTACCCAAGAGTAAAGCAAAGTTTTTCCCAGCCTTTTTTGGTTAGTTACATGAAGATGGTGCAAGCTTCCCTCTATGTTTACAAGAAAATCATATATTAAGGTGGAATTCTTTAGCATTATGACTGATGTTGACCTAACTTCATCTTTCAGACAAACATAACAGTGTGCTTTAAGTCTATTAAGAGGAGTGGATGTAGAAATTCATCCTGCCAATTTGTGCAGCTTCTGTTCTGCATTCAAAACAAAGGCTTATATTTTCATTGCCAGACAAACTGTTTACTTATGTTATGTGAGCACTAGTGACTGTAGGCAAAACTACATCATCAGATATTGGTGTAAAAATCTCAGGGAAATAAATGAGAGTGTCACCTATTGCTTTCTGCAGAAAAAAAAAAAGTCTTTTTACCCATACAAAAAATTGGTGAAGTGTTACATTAGATGTATAAATCGACATGTATTGGTGGCAATCCTCAAGATGGCAAAATGAACTATCAGTTTGTACTGTACTAAAACAGCTGTTTGGTAGAGCGTATCACAG